TGTTAGACTATATGCGACATCAACTCAGCAGCGACACGAGATGAATTATTAATATCAAATTGAATTTGTTTCGACTTCGTAATAATTATTTATGTACTGGTAAATAATATGCCATTATTTAACTCGCTTAGGGGTAGATTTTATGTCATTATTTTTGAAGTGAAATGTCACTCATTGGTTTAATATTCCGCTATTTAGAACCAAACCCAAATCAGAGTTAGATTATCATTAGATTCAATTCCAGCTATAAGTCAATTTAATATGAGATAGTGTCTAATCAGCCTCTATTATATCTTACGCTGTCTTGATCCACTCTTAATATCTTTACCTCCTGTATAAGCTTAAAAAACATATCATGAATGTCATGGTATATTAGATATAGTAATTTAAACATTTACATATAATAAAATCATAAAATCTGGACGACTTATATCTTACTTTTTTTAATTATTTATTATTATTTATTTTTGTCGTTTCATTACAATTCGTATAAAAATGTGACTAAATATTTATTGCTACCACCAACAGCTCAAAGTCCTCGATCGATGCAATAAGTTTATTACCAGATACCTGTGAGACTTTCTAACTTAGTATACCCAATTATATACGGTATGTTAGGGTCCCACCAATTAAGAACAATGAACATGCTGTATATGGTTTCTTTCATAAATTATTAAAATAAGTAAAAAAACGAAATTTAACAAAAAAGGATTGATTGGATTGATTGTGGATATGACAATAAACGTGATAGTGCACGACCATACTTTCTCTTAAAATAAAATACTAAAAATACAGTCCTTAAGAAATCCATATATATTAGTATAATACTGGTATTAGATCAAAATTTGCACAGAAATCTGAGTAAAATTAACAAAAAATGTCACATTATACACACAAATAATACTTATTATATAATAAAATTTAAAACCTTTCACTGTTTGTATTTTACTCATTACAAAACCCCGTAATGTAGACTTCCTATCCAGTGTGGAGTTACTTTTGATGTACCTACCATGTAAGTAGCAAGAAATATTTTTCAACCCGCTATATAAATAGATCAATTTTATAAGTTTTACGTGTCTGTATATGTATCTGTGAGAGGAACTGTGGCATCATAGCACTAAACAAATTAACCATTTATAATACCGTTTTTTTGCTTCCAAGCTTCCAAGCTACCATGATCGAGATGGTTATTAGCTAGATATTAATAGAGTTTTATTCGGGGTTTACTTAAAATTATTAAGTTTATAATTAATATTTTAAACGAAACCTTCATATATAACAAAGATTATAGTGAGTATACAATTATGACAGCAATGATGTGTTTAAATATCTAAAGGTCAACATCGCTCTTTGACCAATAATAACAAATTAAATCACCTATTTATGTTTAGATTTCGAAAGTTATTCCTTGTAGTAGGAGCTTGAGTATTCAAAAACATTTGGAACTTTTTCAGCGTTTTTTTAAGTGTTTTATGGTTATTAATCCGAACAACCTACACGTATTTTACATGAAATATTTCAGATGATGTTTTTTTTTACAAAATACTATAATTTATTCTACTATAAGTTATAACTCATATCTTTATCTATATCGATAACATTTTTATACCAGTATAAATGTACACTATTCTATAATTACTTATTACATTATGTAGGTATCATAAAATTATGAGTAGATGAAATTTTTTGCAAAATTTTCACATGAACGCAGAAAGATGGATTCACACGGTAGCGTAGAAAATAACTAGTTATTGTGGAGCGAATAAACTTTCATACCTATTCGGAACATACATTAACGTCATACCCTCGGGAAAAGGGGTAATTTCAGGGGTACAGGCAAGGGTACAGTGGATACTCCACTTCTACTAAGGGAACGGTTTGAAAATACGTAATTTGCAAGGTGTGATTTTGTTTATTAACTTTTTAAAATATTTAATGGCACTGATATATAGGGCAAAGCATTATAAATGGATACCGGAACTTGCATCTCGCCTATACACGTAAATATACATAAATAACAAGTCTTTTAGGAAGTTACATATCATTTTTAAGATATGTATCCATTGTATTCTTCAGCGCACAAGTATTATTTTCTTTTAGTGTTTAACCCATGTGCTACTTCTATTTTTTTTTTATATTTTTACAAATGTAGTGAAATCATGAAAAAAGAGATCGTAACCTAGTAGTATTTAACCTATTACTTTAAATCTAATCAAAAATATTGTGTCAATTTATACTTTTGATTAACACTACAAACAAACATAATCTGAGTGAAGGTTGAAAGTTTGCCACATTGAATTCAAATGTATCTAGAGAAGTGGGTAATGTTAACGTCGTTGATAATAATTGTACATTACTTAATGACGGTATTAAAAGTATAACCGAAATATTTACTAAAAGTATATGAATTAAACGGAATAAAAAGGTACAATGGTACACGTATATGGTAAAAATGCGGGCTGCACATAATTCACTGTCACACGCTGTACTTGCTGACGCGTTTTTGTTATTTTACAGCATTTATGTTACAGCCGTGATTAAAGATACGTCATATTAACAATGCTCTGGAAGCATTTCCGGTTCTATTCTATTGCATTCATTGTATGCTAGTAGGTTTTACGTTATTAAAAAAGTTTGCAGGTAGTCTGTAAATAATGATGCGAGTTCTGCCAATATAAATATAATGCAAAGTACGTTTATTGAAATTTGTAGGCATTCGTGAGAAATGAGTATCTATTATTAAAATTAATGTACCTAGCTATTAAATATACCTACCTAGTGAATACAAATTTCCACTTTAAAATTATAAAAGTTATTTTTAGGTATAGGAAATAAATAAATTAATCTTTTTAATATTTTATAGTATACTTAAATTTTTATGGCACACAGCTATGCCGTGTATAACTTTCTTAAATATTCGTTATTAAAAAAGGTATAAGTTGATTGTTGTCAAAAATGTAATAATAAGAAATATATTTAGTATTATATTTTCAGTCAAAACCAATCATAACTACTAAAATGTCTGTTATATTTTTACCATGTTGTCTTAACAGAGTCTATTTCAATTTGAAAGCAGCGAGAATATTGAAAAGTATTTTGATCGCAAAGAACTTTACTTACGTAGAATGGCGAATAATTTTAAAATCTAAAGATGATGAATATTTCTGCGAATACATTAAAACTTTTAATGTAATGTTAGAAATCACAATCTTTGAGATCTTTACTAAAGTTGTGTCTCAAAATGTGTTGAGAAATCAGGTGCCATCAAATCGTAGGTGCCTTTACAAAATACTTGTTTATTTCCATTCCACTAATGACTTGTCAAAAACAAAGTGTCTTGGAAAGTGCTCAGAATGTTTTGCCATTACCAACTGAAGACTGATCTTCAATATTATTCAAATAAGAGCTGTAGAATATTGAGAACGTCTAAATACAATTAGAGACCAATTAACAAGAAATGGCGGGGGTTGGTTAGTTTTCGCTTTGTTTTAATCTACCCTGGAGCAGTCTCAATTTATATTGATTAGAACTATATATGTAGATACCTAGAATATATAATATACTTAACAATTGACAAAGTAATGTATTTTATTAGATTGAATTCTAAGTTAAATAGAGATACTTTTACAACTGTTGCCGTGAACATATACGTCCAAGTTTCGACCAGCATACAATAAGAAAAATATATGCGATTATTGATACAATATGATATTGGTTTATAGTAGTTAGAAAACTACATATGGTATTATAGTAGTAATGTTTATACGGTTAGGTAATCCTGCAGATAGAAACCTATGAACAAAACAAACTATACAAATTCCATTGGACCCTATATATATATAGCATAGGCATAGCGGCATATTTTTTATTACATAATGCCTATAATTTTACTCAATAAATTAATCTTAAATATAAAAAGGTTTGGTTCCTGCGACCAAATATTAAATCACAATGAAACGCGTATTTTTTAGTTAGGTACAGATCCTTGGAAATGTATTTACAAGAATACACCTTTACAACTATAATGATTTAACCTTCACCTGCCGATAGCTAAGAATTACATTTCCGCACAATACTGGCATTCCGTACTCATGTGTACATGTTTATATTGTTATGTATATAGGATTATCTATTATGCTATATACATAACAATATAATAGGATTATCTATTATATTAAGGGTTTGTATAGAACATGCATAATAAAAAAAAATATTGGTTTGGGCTAATTTGGTTTGGATCTTGTCAATGTATTTAAATATCACATTGAAAAAATACTACCTATTACCAGTTACTCTGTTGAGCTAAAATTGACGATGGGTGTCTATACGTATAATTTTTTTACATATCAATGCAGTGACTTAAAAAAAGTTAAGTACCAAATAATACAGTGAATCTAAGATATGTCTACTGCTGGTACAATGTAAGCTACAAATATAAGTACATAATGATCCCATCATCCATTGAAGCATAGTGAGCTTAGTAAACACACAAGTAGGTAGGTAATCTACTAGGCATAATATTTGGCTTAAATTTATTTCTGGAGTTCGAAAGTCGAATATTATCTCCGTCTACCTTTGTGCATTGTTGAAAAATAAATTATCCGCATCAGTTTATAAAGTAAAGGTATCTTACCTTTACTTTATAAACATCAAGAAACTCAAGTAGTAATAACTAAATACAAATTCTTATAAGACTCAGATAAAAATTACTTTTACTTTTTAATTATTTTCGCGGCTAATGTAGATAATATAAATTAATGAAAGATTATCATTATATAGATCTTAATTTGTTAGAATATGAAAAGTTCACTTACACTATTACGCCAACATAGGTAAATAAAGCGTCTTTAATTATTATAAAAAAATCCCATCTGTTACGTGCAAAAAGTTAACAAATAATCGTAATAGAGAGCGAAACTTTATGCCCTTATGACTAAGATTCGTATTAAAGAAAATGCATTCGTAGCCTTGTAGTAAATTTAATAAACAAAATTCACCTGTTTTACTGTTAATATTAATCACTTGAGCTGTCACTGTTAAGTAGCAATAATCATGCGATCACGCGTCTATGAACATCGCTTCGCGCTGCGTAGGATACAAATGTTGGATGAGTAAAGAGAGGAGCGTGCGTCGTAGCCGCGGCGAACGGACTGGCAAGCCCTGTAGTAACGGCTACGCGGCTACGCGCTGCCTTACCGACGTCCGACGCTCGGAGGTCCGCGCAGACGCAATACTTCTATCGAAATCCATCAAGTGTAGGCTCGTACTCGAAAAGTAAGAAAAGACTAATGGTACAATGCCCATGGCTCTACACTCATTTTTGTTCAAAACTTTAATTACCTACAAATTAGTTGACAATGATTGTACTTTTCTAAAGTTCCCTTCTATTTATATCAAAAGTAATATAATTATCTACCTTGACATCTCCCTCACATACTGAGGTGGAATTTTTAGAAAATCGCATACAACTGTCTCGTCTATTTCTGCTTAATTATGATATGCGTTTTAAATTGTAGAATAAAATTAAACAGTAATGTTACAGAATTCGGAGGCATTCCATTCCTTCTCAGTATCAAAACGAGAAAACATAACTAAAAGACATTACGTGACGAGAACATGTTTGTGATACTATTCATATATGCTAGGGATTATTAATAATGGAATGTTATCCTATCTTTCGTAGCGGTCACCAGTTACCTAGCGATTAAACTTCACGCTGGTCCCTCTGGATACTATTGTAACCAATTCTTGGTGTATTCGCCAATTGGGTTCATTATTCTGATTTCATATTAATTCTATAACCGCGACCATACCGCGTCGGTAAATCCACCATTTTATATTTTCTAATGGTACAGTCAAACATACATATATAACAATTTATGATAGGTAGCAAATAAGTTACAGATATCTTTAACGGCCTCAGTGGTTTAGCGGTATATCACACAGCCTTACTTCCGATGGTCGCGGGTTTGATTCCTGGCACAGAAACATTTATATGTATTCATTAGTATCATTTTCATTCAATATGTAATATGTATGTATTTATGAAAAAAAAAAATATATATATATATCTATGTGTGTATGGCCGGATCATTGGGCTCCCTAAAATATGGTCCAGTGCACTGATGGCTGGTTCATACGTCATACTAGTGAACGAGTGCTGCTTGTAGGTACTGGACTGCTCTTATCACTACAACTGATTTAATTTATTGTGTATATAAATATTTAACCCATTTTAATTAGTGCTAGTTTGTACTTTGTATTCACGCATTTCGACTTGAAAAATGTAAACTTACAACAATTATTTAAAAGAGCAATACACAAGTTTCTTACTCGTTCTTCTTGTGATGAGGCAGCTATCCGAATGTGCGGTAAATTTAAAAAAGAATGTTATGACTATTCAAAAGTGCTTAAATTAGATTTATTACAATGAAGGATTTTCTATTCTATTCTATTTAACATTTTTTAGGTAACTTGTGACTAGATGGCACTGTGTGAAATGTCCTGAGATTATTATTATTATACATTGTTTATATGTGTGTTACAATACATAGACACCTTAATATCGCTGATGAAGAGCGACCTAGATTCTACATGGACTTTGGTGTTAACCAAACGCAATGCTCCAACGCTGATGCAGCGGAACGTGCACCAGCGCCGACAATCTGACTTCGCGGTTGCCTAATTGTGCAACCCAACCGGGCTTCCGTCCGCCACTTCTATTCTTGCCTCGATAGAGTCACCTCTCTTTTATTATAATTAGAAATAAGTAATTTTTGTATATTGTAATTTTTAAATAAATTTATATTTAAATAAATTTAGTTTTTTTTAAGTCCTAAGGCTGCGACTTACGTAATTGGCGCAGTCGGTAGGATATTCGAGTCAGTGCGCGTCACGATCGGTCTCCAGCATTCAAAATCGTTGCTCCCAATCCACTGGTTGAGCCACTGGTTGAGCTCTCAAGCCTTCGTCGAGTATCAGAACCACGAGGTACACAGCCACAGAAGAATCCGAAAATCGATTCGCAGGACGAGCAGTTGAATCACTCTTTAGCATTGAATCACTCTTTTGTTGCTTCCTTTAGCGTGTTAATATCCTATCCAAGATTTTCCATCTAGGAAACACACTACCAGCGAGTCTGCATCTCCCAGGCAGTCTCGTCGCCAAACTAGATTAGATTTATATAGAGAAATTAAGTTAAGCAATTTAGATAAAATGTCTTACGAACCAGACACTATTTTTAAGGCACTACATCCCGTTCCGGAGTTTGATGGTAACCCGAACGTACTAGTAAGATTTATAAAGTTATGTGATCAGATTGTGATTACATATTGAAATAACGAACCAGGTAGCGAATTAAGTAATTTATGTCTAATCAATGGCATTTTAAACAAAATAACTGGACCGGCAGCCAATAAAATTAATGTAAATGGCATCCCAGATAACTGGATAGGAATCAGAAATGCTTTAATTAATAATTTTTCAGACCAAAGGGATGAAACAGCCCTTTATAATGACCTTTTATTAGCAACTCAAGGTCACACCACACTACAAGAATTTTTGTTCAGCACAATAATGACGTATATCTCGTTACATGAGTCTCTGCCTACCACCATAGAGGCCAAGCGAGCATTGTACAGTAAGCTTACAATGCAAGCATTTGTACGAAGGCTTAAGGAACCCTTAGGCTCCCGTATACGTTGTATGCGTCTAGAAACAATAGAAAAGGCATTGGAATTCGTTCAGGATGAATTAAATGTAATGTATCTACAACAAAGAAACGCACCCGGCACCTCTAATACTGAACGGAAACCACCACAGGTATTTCAATTTACTAAATCACCACCCCTAGCTTCTATTGCCATGCCACACAAGCCGACTATGTCAGTACCACGACCATTTAATTTTCAACCAAATTGGCAATGATTGAATCCACAACCGCAGGGCTGGAAACCTTATATAAAAATATCGAATCCGCTCCTTAACTTGTTAATTGATACCGGAGCTAACCAATCCTTCATTAGTCCACGTGCAGTACAAGATTATTACTCACACTTACCACTTAATTTTGATCCCTTCGAAGTTACCAACGTCGTGTACGTTAACTAATAAACACGATTATTAGATTACAACTAGTAAAAACGATTATTGTATAACCATCCCTTGTTTTTCAGAGTTTAATAACTCAGAAAACATAATTATTCATTTATAATTTTCATAACTACTTTGACGGACTTATTGGACTAGATTTATTAACCAAATGGGAGGCTAAGATTGACCTAAAAGACAAACTACTTATTACACAGACTTCTACAAATCCCATACAACCCGCAAATTCATCCAAATTAGAATACCTATTAACTCACCTGACGGAGACAGATTCATCCCTCAGCAGTCAATAGGCAATTGTTTAATACACGAATGCGTAACGACCGTGCGTAATAATCGCGGCGTAATTGAAGTCGAAAATACATCACCTAATGACGTTATTTTCTGTGTCGATCGTCCAGTAAAGGCAGTGATTTTTAATATGGAGTACACTCATACTAATCATAGTACTCGAGTAAACGAAGTATTGTCTCGCTTGCGTACTGAACATTTAAATGAAGAAGAGAAAGCAAATTCAATTAATCTTTGTACACAATATTCAGATGTCTTTTATATTGACGGCGAACCGTTATCTTTCACTAACAAAATTAAACACCAAATTAGAACCTCAGATGAAATACCAATACACACTAAGAGCTATCGTTATCCATTCGTGCATCGACAGGAAGTCAGAGACCAGATCACAAAAATGCTGAAACAAAATATAATTAGACCATCTGACTCTGCATGGAGCTCGCTTATTTGGGTTGTTCCTAAAAAGGCAGACGTATCCGGGAAACAAAAATGGAGGTTAGTTGTATATACCCGATACCGAACATTACTGACGTTTTAGACAAGTTAGATAAATATTTTACGACTTTGGACCTGGCTAGTGGATTTTACCAAGTTGAAATGAACCCTGCAGATATATCCAAGACTGCCTTTAACGTAGAGCATGGTCACTTTGAATTTTTACGCATTCCGATGGGTTTAAAGAATTCACCATCTACCTTCCAGAGAGTGATGGATAATGTGTTAAGAGGATTACAAAACGTTATTTCCCTTGTCTATTTAGATGACATAATTGTATTTAGTACATCATTACAAGAACATATTATAAATTTAGAGAAGGTATTTCAAAGACTCTGTGAATCTAATTTTAAGATACAGATGGACAAGTCTGAATTCTTAAAACTAGAAACCGCTTATCTTGGACACATAATTAATAACGAAGGAATCAAACCAAACCCAGATAAAATAGCTGCAATTGAAAAGTATCCACTACCAAAAACTACTAAACAGATTAAACAATTCCTGGGATTGATTGGTTACTATCGTAAATTTATTCCCGATTTTGCTAGAATTACAAAACCTCTTACACAATGTTTAAAGAAAAGCTAACAAATCACTCTTGATAAAAACTACATGGACTGTTTCGAAAGATGCAAACGATTACTGACAAACGATCCCATATTAATGTATCCCGATTTCAGCAGAGACTTTATACTGACAACTGACGCATCCAATGTTGCAATTGGATCCATCCTCTCACAAGGATGTATAGGATCTGATAAACCAGTGTCCTACGCATCTCGCACATTAAATGAAAGCGAATTAAACTACAGTACAATAGAAAAAGAGCTTCTTGTGATCGTCTAGGCTACCAAATACTTTAGACCATATCTTATCTTTTTTAGATTCATAAACCACTTCAGTGGATTATGAATCTAAAAGAGCCAAATTCGCGTTTGTCTCGGTGGAGATTGAAATTAAGTGAATATAATTTTTCAGTTATATACAAAAAGGGTAAGAACAACACAAACGCCGATGAGTTGTCTCGTATCGAAATCTATAACGAAGAAATAAGCTCAATGATCACCAAACCCTCGGAAAGACCACCCTCATCGACAGCATCTATTACCGAAACAGCTCACACAAGCAATGAACACCCCATACTAGAAATACCAATCACTGACGAACCCCTTAACAGATTCCACAGACAGATATGTTTAACTATTGTAGGAGACATTAAAAAACGACCATCAGCGACTAAGCCATTTGACACTCACACACGTACATCAATCCAGATATCTAAATGTAACTTAGAAGAAGACGTAGTAAACGCAATAAAATAATATGTTAACCCGAAATTTAAAACTGCATTATTAATAAACCCACCGTTAACGATGTATTCTATCATACCTATCATCCAAGATAAATTTAAAAGCTCATCCATGAATCTCGTATTAGCTAAAACAGAAATAGAAAATGTTAAGGAATATTTAAGGCAACAAGAAATCATAAAAAACTACCACGAGGGTAAAACTAACCACCGTGGCATCACTGAATGTTACCTAGCACTTTCACAAAAGTATTACTGGCCCAAAATGAAAGATCAAATAACTAAGTATATTAATGAATGTACTATTTGTGGACAGGCGAAATATGATCGCAATTGTATCCAATCAAACAGAAATTCAATATCGTACCCCCTCCTGCAAAACCATTTGAAATTATTCATATGGATCTATTTACAGCTGAAAATGAAAAATACTTAACTCTTATAGATGTCTTTTCAAAATATGCCCAAGCCTATCACCCCAGAGATGGCACTGCAATTAGTATCATACAAGCACTACTACAATTTTCAACTCACCATGGACTACCACTAGTTATAGTGACAGACAATGGGACAGAGTTTACAAACCAACTCTTCTCTGAATTTACTAGACTTCACAAAATATCTCACCACAGGACCTTAGCCCATACTCCAAATCACAATGGTAACATTGAACTACTACATCTTACACTTCTTCTCATCTCCGTGCCCTTCGCTTAAAATATAAAAATGAACCTGTCATTAATCTTATTCCCTATGCCATATTAGCATATAACAGTAGTATCCACAGCTTCACAAGATGTCCAATCGACATAATAACAGTACGTTTTGATCCAAGAGACCCTCTCGATTTAGATCTCAATAGTCATCTGCTGCAACAATGCCTAATAAATCACAAAGAACAGATGAAAAATGTATATGAACTTCATAATGAAACATCTCTCTCTAACCGTACCACCCTTATTGAGAATAGAAATAAGGATCGCGAACCCAAAATTAACTATCAGCCTGATAAACAAGTTTTTATAAAAAATCCCTTCGCATCTAGCCAAAAACTAACCCCACGTTATAATCAAGATACCGTCCTAGCAAACCTATCGATTCATATTTATACCTCAAAAAACGAAATCCTATAGCAAAATCAAGATTAAAACGAATACCTGAATCAGCAAAATTGTTACAGACTGTGAAACCAAGTAGGCGAAGGAGGCTCTGCTAACGTATTAGAATTTAATGCAACAAAGTACATAAATGGCACGAATGAATTTTAATATTACAATAATTAATATAAAGAATCTACGCGCTTTGGTTGACAACCAAACTTTTCATTTAAGTGCGTTCACTTCACTAAATTTATTACCGAAACGAAGTCTTGCAACGTCTGCCTTATCTGTCAAATGTCAATTATCAAAACAAACATTTTGTATTATTTATTTGTAAACGATTACTTAGAAAATTTTATATGCTCCTACTTGTAATTGATATCGAAACAATGCAGTCATCTCAACTTTGTCTTTTTGTTAATTTAATAATTGTATTATCTTGAATGACGGCCGGTGAGTCAGTTCATTATGGACTTTATTTCTTTGATTCTTTGTATACTTCAATTTAATTGTGTTCCCGCTTTAGCTTGAATAAAACGTGGTACTCTCTCCGTTTGTGAATATTTAAAACTATTAAACTAACATGAAACCTAAATCAATATTAACGCGATTCCATAATTGTTATATACTACGTGATAATAAAATAATCAAGGAAGATTTATGGATCCGTGACGGAAAAATCGAAAATCCTGAGCGAATATTTTACGTAGAGAGCCTTGAAGCAGACTTAACTGTAAATTGCGAGGACTTACTCATTACACCTGGGTTCATTGACATTCAAATAAATGGTATGTATGTTTCTAGATAAGTTTTAGACTATTCCTTAATTCCAGTTTTGCTATTTGATTATAAAATAGATAGATAATTATTTTATTTACAATATATAATTCTTCATCATCACTGAAAAAAAAACATACATTGCCTATAAGAGAAGGTTTAAATTACTATTACAATGCTGACCATCCTTCTATATATACAATTGATTTTGAATTTTTCTTCTCTTGCACCAATATGCATACCATTGATATCTTAGTCCTCAATATCAGAGAATAGGCATGGGATAAAAAGTTGAGTTCACAAACTGTATGATGACTACATCACCACATTGAGAATATGTGGAAGATTAATTTCAATTTGTTTTAATATTTTTTATCAATACCTTGTGCTAGTCCCTTATTACTTCATTCGCTTATGTCACTATATTACAAAAGAAGTTATATTTCTGTACAAAGGTGGCTGGGGAGTTGACTTCTCATATGACTCGGAAAATGTTCAAGAAGGATTAGACAAAGTTGCAAAAGAATTATTAGCACATGGAGTTACCTCCTTCTGTCCCACCATGGTTACATCTGAAACAGAAAAATATCACAAAATCTTGCCTCAAATAAAAAAAACACAAGGTGGGAGGCATGGTGCTACTATTCTTGGTGTTCACTTAGAGGGCCCATTTATAAGTCCGGCTAAAAAAGGTGCTCACTTAGATGAATATATTAGGATTCCTGAGAAGGTTAGTGTTAATTTAATTAGCTTATTACTACTTAGTAAGACATAAGGACGCAAGAAAAGAAAATGGAGGACTATTTTAAAGGACTAACAAAAGGAGATATTGTTACTGTATTTTTGTGTATATTTCTTAGATCATTACCAAAAGTTCATAAATATTCATTATTATTTTTTATTTCCAATATAAATTATAGGGTCTCCTTGTATGGGGTATTCTCAGGGGTACCACAAGGGCGAATAATATAAAGGGCAGTAAATAGTAGTGTACATAAATGTGTTGTACAAGATTTCTGTTATTTGCAATTATTTACATGTTTTGCGTTTATAACAATAATGTATTGTCACAGATTGTAGTTTTGGTCACTAGAGGCCTCGTCATTGGCAACATAGGCTCTGGTCGACCTCCATGCAATTTATCTTGGAAACTATTTTAGTTAATTCCTTGTTCATCTGATTCGATTTCATGCAAATCCTGTTATCCTAACTGGTGCACCACCAGTACAGTGCCGGTGGGGCAAGTTGGAATACAATCCCATGAATGGTTCATTAAAAAAAATCAATAAGGTGTTCTCTATTTTTATTGTAATAAATTATAGGCCAGCTTTGTTTTATTGTTTATGTCTGTGGCAATATTTATCACTAGGAGTTTATCATTAACCTACTTTTCAACAAGATACTCATGTGTTTAATGAACTCCTTATCAAGCCGTATCAGCTATTGTACAATGTATGCTATTGAACTTTTTATAAATAATTTGATAACTAATGAGTACTTATTGAAAAATCAGAATTCATACTTATGATCATCATTATATTGTTAATCATATATAGAATATACATTGTACCTAGTAACTCTAATTACATTAAATTTTATATGTACCTATTTATGCCACAGTATCTCTTTAATTTTTCCCAAAAGAACAGCATAAGACCAACATAAGAAAATATTTTAAAAACTATATTTTCTTTCTTTCCCTTTTTTTTTATTACATTTATTTTTTCCCTTTCAATACGATATTTTTTTAGTAATCCATATACACAATGAATTTTAAAATCAATAATTCTCATGCAACTATAAAATTAATAATTCATTATCTTAACGTAGGTTGATTTAGTTTACTTAGGTCTTCCATTTCATGATGTGAGCTGAGTATGAATGAAATATGAAAGAATATATTTTCAGGGACTAGAAACTATAAAACAAGTATACGGTCCTCTGGATGACGTTGTGATTATCACCCTAGCCCCTGAACTACCAGGAGCAACGCAAGCTATAAAGGATCTGACGAAGTTAGGTATAAAAGTAGCTGTTGGTCATTCAACTGCAGGGTTAGCACAAGGAGAGGAAGCAGTGAGGAATGGCGCCAACCTCATCACACATTTATTCAATGCCATGTTACCAGTAAGCATTCATTCTTATATGTATGTAATATCATCCCAAGACTATACGTAAAGCACCTGCTATTCTTAAATTAAGAAGAGAGTACTATGTATACTAATTATTCACATAGATTTTTTTATCCACAATCAACTATCATCCATTTTTAACAACAATCAAATTCAATAATATAAATATTTATATACCGCGAGAATCCATCCCCCGATTATCGTACGCCAAGGACGTCAATATTTATAATGGTTTATTATTTATTATTATGAAACTTACGAAAAATATCTATAAAGATAAAATTATCTATTTTTTGGACCACATCCAATTTAATTATTGTTATTTCATTGTAGTTCCATCATCGTGATCCTGGTTTAGTAGGACTATTGGCATCTACAACAGACAAACAAATATATTACGGAATTATATCCGACGGTATACACACACATCCCTCCGCTCTCCGGATAGCTTGCAGGGCTAATCCTGAAGGTAACACATATTTTTATATATTTTAACATTTTGTTTGGAATAATGTCTTCTAACACCACATCTCATAAAACTGGGAACTGAACATTATTTCAAAATCGAGTAAACCATTTACTATTATTTAATAGGTAATAATGAATGGGTTCCCCCGCCTACGCTAAAAATATCGCTTTAGGGTATCAGTCAGGATGATAGGATGAGCACAATGTCCAGGTCAGTTAGCCTCTTGGACCGAATTACGAATCAACCGCAATGGTTTCCAGGGATAATAGCTTAGAAGTCTAGTCCTCATTACAAACCATTTACTATATCATATGTGGATATCAATACTGAAGAATAAAATTACTAATATCTTACCCAGGACTGGTTTTGGTAAGCGATGCCGTAGCAGCTCAGGGACTAGCAGACGGTAATTACCGAATAGGACCGCAAGCAGTAACAGTTGAGGGTGGCCATGCCTACCTTACAGGAACTAAAGTCCTATGCGGCAGTACCACTGCGTTGGATACGTGTGTACTCACTTTCAAAGAATCTATAGGTTTGTTTGATTGTTTCGTATTTATTATAATTATGTACTTATATTGAATATGAAAATACATATGTGGTGGTATGGTAATAAAAACTCTATGTGGTGTTTATAACAATAAGTTTTGTGTAAAAAGAAATCAGTTTCTATTTTATAGATTTTTTTGTTTTGTTTTTAAAAACTTTTCTATAAACGTGATTAACAAACATCATTCTCATAATTTTTTTATAACATTGTGGAATTATCCCTTTATACCTACTTCACCAGCTCATAATTAGTATCGCCGAACCGGTTCCCATGAGAACTATGGTAAATCTTTAGGAAATGCCTGAATCGTAAGAGATAACTAAACAAAATATAAATTTACACAATCCCAGTTATGTGAATTAGAAAAGCGTGTCATTATCCAAAAGGTGATCTTATTAATCTTCTTATGTATTTTTATGGCCATTATTTAGATTTTAGTAATTTTCTTTAATCGCTAATATAATTAAATCTTGTTTTATCATATAGATCATAATTGTAAAGATTTAAGAAGTTTATCTAAAAGGAGACTTTATTACTAAGCTCTAAGTAATTATCAGTTACAAAATATTTAATCAATTTAACTCAATATTTTACAGAATGCTCATTGGAGTACGCTCTGGAAGCGGCTTCGTTACATCCAGCACGAGCACTTGGCGTCGACGATAGGAAAGGAAAACTGGACTTTGGTTATGATGCAGACTTTATCATTGTACAACCTAAAACATTAAAAGTCCTATCTACATGGATAGCAGGTGAATGCGTTTACACTAGTCAAAATGACATAACGCACAATGCGTAGATAGACATATCTAGAACATTAATCGTTCTAAAAAATATATACATATCTTGTATGTTTGTAGCTTAATTTGTGGCCACGCCTACTCACAGCTGTACAAGCTTAACCTGACCAGCAGGTGATGCCTTACCAGCTATTATCTTAAGTATTGTTATTTCAAATATATGTTCAAAACAACAATGATCACTTAAATTATGGGATATTTGAAGTATATTGTAAGTTACTTCAAATACCCGGTGTCTGTTGTATTAAAAATATATATGTAAAATTGTAAACAGTCCGCGCAGACGAGACCGATTTTATCGGCGAACAATAATACCAGCAGACACGTAGCATGCAATTATAGTACATTTGAAATTTGTCATTTAATAAAATGTGTAAAAATATACAAATATTTCTCAGAAAATCCTATATTGTATTTATTTTCATATATTCTGTAAATTAAATGGGTCCAGTTGTGTTGTGAAAGTAAATAATTTCAAACATACATATATACTAGTTCCTCAGCCTTTTTAATTTTTATATAACAACAATGAAATTAACAGAGCAACAAAAAAATCTACTACTGCATTCGTGAAGTTATGCCTTTTATATGCGGTCAAATATTCGATCACAATATTTATTTAAAATTATAGAATATCCACGTGTAACTTCTAAAATAAGTGGAAACATGCTAACAGTTCCCATGCAGTAAAAATATAATTGTTCTGTTTACCCATGTTGGGTAAATAGAACAATTATATTTTCCAATCCCGAATGTATATCTCTATTGAGAAGCAACCAAAATTGTGATTATGCTGGTGCCTACATATTATTTTTATATAGTTGGCCATTATTCTATAAATGTTATTTTTTATATTATAATAATAAAAATATTTTTAGAATCCGATTTTTTTTTCAATTAAGGAATCAGGATACCTTAACGAACCTAGATACACAGTACTAAAGGATATTGCTAATGACTAATCTACTGACTCGACACAGTTGACTTAGCCAGTAACACAGAACACCAATATCCTAGCAGGCCAGTAACGAATTAGCTGGGAATTTACACGGCCAACAGTTTAAAACGCTGTGTCGGTAGCCGCAGATTCGTTTCCTCGCACGATACAATTCATAGGTATGATTTTGTCTGCGTCTCGACGTTTTCAATGTATATTTATAAAAAATAAATTAAATATTGTAAAAAATATTTTCTTTTGAAGTTTTAGGTCGGGGATATTTTAAGGAACATAGTTTCTTATTAGACTACCTCGGTGGTCACAGCGGTTAGCACTTGCTTTACTTACGATGGTCGCATCTTCGATTGCTGGACGCTACAAACATTTGTATCCATGAAATTACCGGTTCGTATTGATCTCAATATTTTCCTTACAGAAAAATATTTAGGTATGCCTATCAGTTATGTTGAACCCATAGTTAGTTATATTACTGCAGGATTAATTCAATTCGCTGCACAGGTACTTCTTAAGTAATCATTGGAACAAATTTAAAATGATCTAGAGTAAAATAATATGTCCCAAATAGTAAACTAAAATCAAAACCCCATTTAGTGGCATGGAAAATCTTTATTGAAGTAAATATATTTATAAAGTCAGTACAATTTAAGTTCAATAGTTTCCAAAAATATTAAAGTGCAGGTTGCTGATCACCTGGCAATGTTAAATATGATTATTTCTTAATTAAAATACAAGCTAATATTGAGAAAACTGTAATATGTGAATAATAACATGTATATACCTAAATAAAATCATGACAAAAATATATTTTAGGCAGGCTCTGAATTACACTGCTCTATGCTGTTGTTATCCTGGCCACAGTTCACAATAATAAACTTATAATTATTAAGACACCGCTAAGATCACGTGAAAATTTGCACCCACCATAAAAACAAAAAGTAGAAGTGCAACGGGACAAAATATCCACAATTCTCATGTAATTTCAGCGGTGTTTGAATTTGGTCAAAGTAAGATGTGCAACTAGTTCAAATAAATTCTCTCTGTCCACAAATGACTCGGATAAATCTCTTCGGACACGATGTCTAGTATGGCCTATAAATTAAAGACTCAATTCCGCCAGTTTCCGAATGTGGTGGACAGACAACCAGTTGGGCATCTTATTTCACAATAAAATTAAACATCAAATTACAAACCACGCAATGTATATTCATGTATACAATAATATTACTAAGTGTATGTATATAATGTAAATACATTTTCATGAAAAACAAAATAATATCATGGAATATTCAAAGAGCCAAAATACTTGAGATTAACTCTACCTTGATACCACATTAACTTCTAAGATCTAGGCACAATGCAGCAGAGACTCCTGTATGGATTACATAACAATTTTCGTTGACTGTGGGGCAAAATGGTACAATCATACAGTAAACACCATCACACAAGACGTGCTGAAAACATTATCTACAACTGTCGTCTCGCTAAGTACATTGTTTGTATTAAGTATATGAGAAAATATTAACCTCAAGCTTACAGAGCAATCTACAGCAAGCAGTATAGGATAATGGTTTCAGAGGCAGTGATACTCCTATGTGCTGATGCTACTGGTGCCCCTGCAGCGTGCACTCGGCGGCATGCTGCCTTGAAGGCAAACAACTACATCTAATAAAACTTCAACGTTTACAATGTTTTCAAATATATACGGAGGGTATTGTCTGTTAGATATATAATTTTTTGTCGCTGAAGTCCACAGTCACACAAAACACGTCCATGTGGACTACTCCTAACTTTAAAATACTTTTAACAGAATAAAATTATTGAGCAATATATTCTTAATAGAATATAGTAGAGATTTGCTCGGCTGCACCAACTCTACAGAAAAATCATGTTAATCCTAGTATCAAATACCAATGCACACTCCACAAATGTCATTTTTAAGAATTAATAATAATTAAATTAAAGGAATAAAACAATCTTTGGATCAAAATTAAAATATGCATTTCAAACATGCATCTTTCACGCTAAATTACGATAATTTTCACATTTTCAACAAAAAAAAAAAAGATGACAAGAAACTTAATTCAGACCTATAATACACTTAAAACTAATTTAAAAACAAAAAATAGCCATTTTTAACATATATCTAAGCCAAATAGGAAAATTCTGGGAGTTGCAATCACAATTTCAATGAAAACCCAATTGATTCGGCATGATATGTTTTGTTATTTACTGAATAATTTGTGAAATAAGAAATATCTAAATGGCTGCTTATGTGAAAAAAATTATGCTTACAGTTATAGAAACAATTAAAAATAAGATCACTACAATACGTAAATACCAAGAATTGTATATTAAAATATTTGTACTTTTACTGACTAAAGGAAAAACATTGGCAACTGCTAATAATCCTACAATTGTAAAAAAAATAACTTGTATAATGTAGACTGAAAACGGTCATCTCAAATTCGTTCACTCTAAGATGTGGAATGCAATTAGAATTCTTTAACAATATTAAAAGGTATAATAATATATTAAATTTTTATATCAGCTCAACAATGTATATAATCTATAATAATTTAAAAGCCTAGATCCAAACTGTGATATTATTGCACAAGCACACATGTGGCTTAAAATTCCAATGGGAATAGAGCTCACAACCTTATTATTATTTATGTTGTTTTTTTTAAAAAACAGCGGATACGAAACATATAAGGTGGGTAAGAGTTAAGTTACACCATCAACCGTTTGAGCATGCTATTTTCAACATAAAGGAATAAATTGATCAGATGAAAATATAATGTTAAATCCTACCCACAGTCAAGTAACACGTACATAAGTAATAAACAATTGAATCGTTAATGCCACAAAACTCCACCGAAACCATCTAGCTGTGCTTGGTGCCACAACATAGGCAATACGCCCACCTCCAATAGGGAGGGTAACATTAGAGCTCACCTTGTGCGCTGCGAACCCTACAACTATCACTTTACTTGGCACCGAGTGCAGACGTCCTTGACATCCAAGCCTACAATAAGCTACCTCCTAACTCGCTACACATACCTAACCGGCCCACTCGTCTTCACTTTCATTACCAACATTCGTGATGTCAAGAAAATCGCGATATTCAGCGCCATATAAAGCGATACTACACAACTACTGAAGTAATTTATTGCTGGATACATAAGGGAATATAGATTCAAGAGAAATATATTTACCAAAAATTGCTTTAAAGTGTATATAGGTAACTTTTAAGATTCCCGAGAAAGGCTACTGTAATGTACTCTAATGATACAATTATTATCAAGTAATGTCAATGGACAATAAATACCATTTGACCTGCCATTATCTCATGACATAGTGCTTACTTGCTACGGCAAGAATATACAGCCAAGCAGACATGGCGAATACCCGCCGTGCCCGCGCCAACCACTAATAAACATTTCTAAACAACACCACCATATAGGCAAACTTGTGATACTGTTAGGTATGTTGTGTATATAGAATTGAAAAATACTAATTCCTACAAAAACGTCTACGTTGACGATTCTCTACATAAGATATATGGCAAGAACAAAGGAAACATTGTCAATGAGATAACATCAATTAATTCAAGATGTAAATAATATAAACTATAATACTTTTAAAATATAAGAATATCAATGTCATTGCATTTATTTGGGAAGTTACATATATTTATAATAATAGTAATAATTATATAATGACATTTCAACTTTTAAATTTATTAATATTGGAATTCACACATAAAATAGTATAATTTGTAAAATTATCCAAAACTTATCACACCACTTTTTTAATATTTTTATGCAACCCTAAAGCAATATTTATTATTAGCGTCAAACGCTCCCTTTGGGGCAATAATAAGTTCTATTTCGGTTAATTTTACTTCACTAACACACAATAATTTTGATCAATGACAACAAATTAAAAATGAACATTATATTATAAACCCTGAATATTAATAATAAAACAAAAAAATTGGCAACAATTAGTGACTAATTTTACAAAAATATCATACAATAAAATAATTACTATGTGCATGCACAAATATCGTAAGAAAATAATTTGGCAGTAAAAATTCGTAACTCTAAAGGCCTAAACACACTGGCCAAAAATACTATTCAAATATAGGCCCAGAACATATAATTAAACAAAACAATAAAATGAATATTAGAGTATTAATCACACCTACTCATCCGCGAGGGGTATGTAGACTCATTATTTTAAACCTATTTAAAATAAAGAAAATAAAATTCCCTAATGCTATCGGGACAAAAATCCTGAAACAAATAACTTAAAAACAATATGAAAAATAAACCCAAAAGTTACTCACTAATCAATAGAGGATTCAGACTCAAACGTCAATGTTTAACATATCACTGGCTCTCCATCGACGGCCCTACCGCGTTTCTACGCCCAATTTCCCACGCCCCCATACCGCGGTTACAAGTCATAGTGTCTTTGCTATTCTTAAATTGTTGTTCCATAATGTCTCTCTATTATTGCTCATATCACATTAAATGTTGCTAATGTTTCAAATATTGTAAATCTGTTCCAACAACAAATAAAATAAATACCTATTGCTAATTAAGTACAAGTATTAATTTAAAAACTATGTTTCGAACATGTTACGACAATAAATATATTTAATGATAATAATATGGCTCAGCAACTACGATTAAATGTGCCAAATATTTCTGCTGTGTTTAATACATCATCAAAATGCATAGGTAACCGTCCAGCATCAAAGACAAGACAATTACGAAATAAGTTTATATATAACAACTGCGGATATAACACGATTGTGACCCTAATAAGACGCCTTTCAAGCCGTGAATTATGTATACGCTATTAAAGATATAACAAGTGAACATTTTTATATTATTCAACCATTAAACTATGTAATATAGTTCCGTGATTCGATAAGTACTAACCTTTCTTCTACACCTTTAAAGCACAATGCATAAGTGTTGAACATTAGATAAAAAATTTTATTCTTGTCTTTTCAGTTGAACGATCAACATAACGAAACTATGCATATGAAAACTAAATTTATATTATAGTAACATTTAAATCACTACATTTTGAAGCTAAACGCATAAAATTTAGAGAGCTTTATAATAACATGACAAATTAACATAAGCTATAAAATATCACACTTAATTTTAGGTGGTCTGAGTTAAGTACTATTCCAAAATGGTATTTTTTGCAAAACAAAATAATGGTCATGTACAACGGATAGTGAGCTTTAGATATGTTATATACCTATATAAATTTCGTTGGCTGAATTTTGGCTCACCTTAACTTTCTTGCTAGTAAAACCATTGTTATTTATAAGAAAAAAGCGATAATGAGTATATATATCAAATATGTAGTTATTTTAATTTTCGTCGAAAAAGCCTAATTAGAGTTGGAAGACTATGAAATTACGAAATTACATTGTATATTATATTTAAATTTAAATTGTATTTGACCATTACTTGTGAATTACAAATTATTATAGATCTATTACCATATTATTATCGATGTGTCTACATTGAAAAATGTCCCATATTTAATTATAATATCCTATAATAATAATGATTCAACGGGACGAACTATCTATAATGAAGATCTATATATAGTGTCGCATTTTGTGAACCGCAGATCAACCATAATATTTATTATTCGTATATATGTACCTAATACTATGATTCCCAATTTTGAATTTAAATGTGGATAGTTATAAAAAATATGTATATAATTAATATTTTAGCGACAATATAGTGTCGACTTTTCTATAGAAATAAAATACTTTTTTATTAGCAAATTCATGTATACAGCCAAGTTGGGATGATTAGTCTTGGTGCGGTGGGTAAATTACTCATCCATACAGCAGATGCAACAAGTAAATTTTTCAACATAGAAGATCTATGAAATTCGTATAGTGTAATCTTGCGTTTCATTTGTGACAGGTGTTGTGACAAACAACATTACTGCACTAAATTGAAAATGTATCAATCCCAACAAATTAAATTACAATAAACAAATACAACAATATTCATATTAAGCTATATACATGAAGATGCCCCCAAACTTTATATATCTTACTTTGTTCAACTATCCCAGATACATTGTACAAATTTATTGCAACGTTATAAAGCAGCTTCCCCCTACTACTGAACCGAATTTTATTAAGTATGTATATCGTAATAGCCTACTCACGAAAAACCTTTCAAATATGTAATAGGCTCTCAAAACAAGAGTACATGAAAAACATTTTGTATAGACACAAGAATTCTGTAAATGGTAAATATATTTTAACGGACAATATATAATAATATTGTATACGAGATTAACCTAAACTAGATGGCACGTTATATTAGTGTCGCCTCCTTTGGTCTTTAACAACACTAAAATTTTATTACGATGAACTCAAATTGTGCGTTCGTATTTGTTCACTATCAAACAAATTGCTAATTTCTAAAACTTTGTCAATTATTTTAAAACAGTGTACGTATATTGGGCGACATTTAAGTTTCATGAGGCGACACTCCCACGCAGTCCCCTAATTGACATGTTTAAACTTCACTCGAACTAGGAACCACCATACCAGCTGCTAATTTAGAAACACAATATTTATAACAGTCCAGTCAATAGATGTGTTATATTTCTGGTTGTAAATTTGGTAGGATGGTAATTTCGAGTCCTAAAATAAGATAAACATTCCCATAAATATAATGTAATATAATAATATTGTCAATATATATTTAGGACTAACATTAAAATTTTTAATATAGCCATAGTACTAATGTAGTTCTTAATTTTACTATGGCTTTAAATTGTTAACTACTATAAAACCTCAATAGCGACAAATATCATATTTAGGACCAAAAACTAAGCACCCAGAACCAAATTAAATAATAATTAACTCCTGCCTGGACATTACAATATAAGACAAATAATATTATATACTAAACTTTGGATTTCCCGTTACTATAACTAAATGCAAAATGAAAGAGGAATAAAACCCAAAATACTCAATCATTCAGTACTTTGGAAATAATGACTTGTATAATCTATCCATAAGCAGTAGTACAATGCTTCTCTCTAAAATGCCACAAATAGAAAAAAATGTATATGAAGCTTAAAAAATGGGATAGCTGTGACTCACTGCACATGGACAGAACGTAAAATCAGACTAACATGAATTTAAACATAAAATAACGAAAAAAAGTAGTAAATACTGGTTTAGCAAAAATGATAAGCTTTGTAAAAACAGCAATTAAATATAAAAGGGAATAAATGTGAGATCTTGTAGTATGCAGACTTACAGCCATGAAAATACTCCTCAGACAATGTAAAGAGTGTTGAGGACTAGAACATGATGATTATTCTTAGCCAGAGTGACAATATACCCCTCGGATGTAATCTTCAAACCGCAGCAGCGAGAAACCTGCAATTAGACAATAAGAAGCTTTAATCTCAATATGCCATTATTACAATTGATATGAAGTATTGTTGGAATACTATAAAAATATACACTTTTTTTTAGAATTAAAAAACGAACTGTAACAGAATATCAACATTAAAAATATAACTACATCTACCTACTTTGTCTTTCTTAACCCATTTATTTCTAAAACAATATGTTGCCAATTCGCCTTTTGATATATGTACGTAATGCTAGAATTGACGGTTCCGATGGTTTTGAACTCATTTGATACTACTTTTTTTTTAAGATCAATAGGGTATATTTATAGGGATATATTTTTGCATTAGCAAATTAAAATACATATGTATTTGTTAATATCATGTTATAACACAAGTCCAAAATTAATATCTTAAGAAAGAGTGGTCTCAATCATCTCATCTCTTCCTAATACAGGTTTATATAAACTCACACACTTATGTATTGTGTCGTAAAATAAAAAAAAATATGTTTGGTATTTGTATCATTACAATTTAAAAAATTCTACTGAAATATACCAAAATTTGGAGAAGATGTCTCGCTATTACTTTTCTTCCATCTAAATTAAAATTTCTGGCATGATAATTGTGTTTGTTAAAGTATAAAACTAGATTTATATACAAAACAACCTTACCTTTACGTAGGGGCATTCAAACTCGGTGACCAGTACACCGTCACGCGAAAACACAGCGACGTGGAACTTGTTACCGTGCGAATCACCAATGAGTACATCGCCGGCATCCGAAACATCTATGCCATTCGGAAAATTGGTCACATTCTCGCATCCTATGCGGCGCAAAAATCTACCCTCATCATCGAACACAACAACGCAGTGACCTTTGAAATCGCACACATAGAATTCTTTACCTGAAATTTAAATAAAAGGTTAAAAGTTGAAAGGGCATTTATAGGACATATATTTATTATAATGTTACTGTAAATTTACCACTAATTGCAATATCCGAAGGCTCCCTCATACATTCGCTACAATCAAACCAGCTCATGAGATCACCTTCCTCAGACAGAATAAAAACAGTAGGTGTTACACTATCAACCGCGACGATTAATCCTTCAGCAGTGACTGCCAGCCCAGCTACTATATCAATGAAGCGCACCTACAAATAACAATAATATTTTCATTCAGTTACACGAAATTAACAAACAATTTAACATGAATAATAAGTACTTACAGCAATCTTCTTCAAAAAATGACCGTTTTTTGTAAAGATTTGCATGCGGGACCTTTCATTACCACGATCGCAGACAACAAACTTTCCAGTTGCACGAACGACTGCTACTTTGCGTGGATACCATAGTTGACCCTCTTCTTTACCAGCCACGCCAAAATTGAACTTGTGATTTCCAGACTTATCAAATACCTATAATGTTTTTAATAGTTTTATAAACCGTAACAGTTATAAACTGTACAGGGTAGAAGGGACAGGTTAGCCAAAACATAAACTAATATATTTAGAATGGTTTAAAACAGATGGTAAATTATTTTCCCACCGGAAAAGCACCACAGCCATATCCGATAATCGACAATCGTTAATATAGTATAAGTAATTTCAACCCATCATGATCATGAACTCATACCGGATGAGTTATAGTGATGTACCAATCTTGAATAGCCAGGATAAGGAGAAACAAAACACAATGTAAGCCTAGTATTATTTGATTTTTTTTTTGTTTTCAGGACAGAATAATAGTCTGATATTACTGTTTCAGTTTTTGCCAATCTGTCCCTTATACCCCCGTATTAAAAAACTTACTGTTATGCGATGATTATTTGTATCTGCAACAATAATGTCCTCATCATTTCCAAGGCAAAATCCATGTGGCGAATTAAATTGTCCTTTGCCGCCACCAAGCTGACCGAATTTAAATCTTATATGCATAGGTGTAGCCTTAGTTGCACGAACAAGCGGCGCTGGTGGAGCAACGAGGGCTGCCTCTTCAGCAGCAGTTAATAAAGGCCGTCCAGGTGACACGCCACGAGGACCCACACCCCCGATTCCACCGACACCCCCAAAGCCATTTACTTCTAAAAATAATAAATGTATATTTTTATTAAACAACAACTATCACATACGAATCTTTACACTTATACAACAATTAATATTAATCCCACTTACCAGTATTCAATCCCAGCTTAGCAAGTGCTTGCAAATTGTTATAAGCTTGAGGAGAATTCAAGTCTCCAGCCAACAATTCAGCTAGAGTAAATGAAGAAGCTGGAGATGCATGAGGGGTTGGAGGCACATCCTTTTCTGCAATGCTGGCCAGTTGTTGCAAATTATATTCCACCATTGAAGGCAAAGCTGGTACGCCACCTACCCCAGCAACAGGTCCCACACCAGGAGCACTATTAACATTTACTACTCCAGGCATGACACTGGAGTTTGCAACTGCACCTACGCCAGGGACAGATCCCACTCCTGGAACACCCATATTTGGTACTGAACCCACACCAGGAACACCCACAATGCCGACGCCAGTTACTCGACGTACATTGCCTAAAGGATAATCATCAAATACAGGTGCATTAGTTACAGATACAGCAGGCGAATGTGAATTAGATGTGATAGACACAATAGCAGAAGATTCACTGGCACGTTTACGCTCTTCGGCTTTGGTAGCTTCTGTTCTAAACACCCCAAATGTTTCTTCGGTGATAGTATCAAACTTATCAATCTTAGTTACAAACTCCAGTGAATAATCCACATCAAATTCAGGAGCGCCTTCGAGCAAGCGTGTAAACTGGGAAGCCACAGTCTTCTTCAACATAACTATTTCTGTACCATCTCCCCGACGAAGGAGTCTTGCCGCGAATTTACAAGCACAATCGATGCGTTGAACAGTCTTATCGACACGATCAAATAGATCCATTACTTTAAGCTCTCTTTCTTTGTGTAAACGTTCGAGTTCTTCAAGAGCCTTTTCACGGCGTCTTTCTAAAGCATCTTTATACGCCTGGAATGCTTCATTGATAATACCTTCAGCTTCATCACGTTGACGTTGTAAATCTCCTAAAGCATCATCAAGCCTCGCTGATGCACCACCAGCGGCAGTTGCACGAGCGTTACCTTCCATTATTAAGTTTCGTAATTCTAGACGCAAGTTGGGTTCAGCATCAACTATTCGTTCACAACGGTGCTCGCCAACTTTATGGTCTACAGTTAGGCATTCAGAACACGCACCGACATCGCATTCACAACAATAAAATTTAAGACTTTCCCCAACATGGCGAGTGCAAAAGATGGGCTTATGGACAGCTGCCTTCTCCTTTGAAGATCTGAGTGCATCAAATGGAACGACGCGGTGATTTTCAAAGCACCTCATGAACTCATGAGCAGAGTTACAATTGGAACACAAAAAATGAGAACAATCGGTACACCTAGCAACAGCTGGTTCCTTACTCTTACAGCAAGTACAAACAACTGATTGATCCATAGCAGAAACATCTAAAATGTTGGTAATGAGATAGTCAGATGGAAGTGATGCTGCTCCACCGCCAGATATCTGGAACAGGTTTATGACAATTAATTTATACACTTAAAAGCCTTAGACTATTGTATTCAGTAATAAACATTTTTTTTATTACCTTAGTCTCTTGTTTGCATATTGGGCATTCCACTGCTAGATCATATTTCAATGAATCACCTGCTTCATTGACCATTAACTTGTCAATACAAGCTTCACAGAATACATGAAGGCATGACAAAACTCGAGGACTGCATAATTTATTGCTACAAAAATTATTAATACATTTTTATTACATTTTTTCCAATTTACAACACACTGCAATAAAAAATCTGGATTTGTGAAATACTCACTCGCAAATGTTACAATTTTGCTCCTGTTTTCCACTGTCAGTAGACTCCAATGAACCCTCATCCCCCAGGCTTAGTAAGCCATCACCATAAAGCTCTCCATTCATGTCTTCCATTTTAACTTATAATTATTTTGGTGTATAATGTAATATTGACTTTATTCAACAAGAATCTAAAACAATATTTTAATATTTATTATTATAAATTTTATTAAAAATTATTTGTAAACATATTTTTTTATTCTATGCCCTTATTTAGAAAAAGTCAGACCACTAAAAGGAGTGGCAATGTATAATTTGATATTGATAGTCTTTGTTAAGTGGTCATGATTTGGCGATGGAAATAAAAACATCAGGACCCACCTATCAGCATGTTTGTCATTTCCGTTGCATAAAAAAAGATCAATTATAGATAAATTAGACAAATAAAAAGAATGGCACAAAAACAAAATACTGAAATAAAAATTAAAGTAGACTGTTAGTTACTTCAAATATCATATACCTATGAAAAATTTAAACAAATATATTTTACTACCTGTTCATGAAATAATCCTAAATAGCAATATAAGTTAATGAGTCAGAATAGTAGCTACAAAACATGTCTTCAGTAATAAGCTGTGTTATTTCGCATTTTATCAATTACTTAGAAATTCAATTATTTTCTGCAAGAATTTTTTTCCTTTTGTTTTATACTTCTTGTAAAACCGGAGCACGCTCCCTCAACCTCAACATACATACTGCTCAATAAACAGTTCAATATTTCAATGTGAATGTGTTGCCCTAACTGAGGTGGCTGCCAACAACTTCAACATTAAATGAAATCTATCAGACAGTGGATCCATGCTGTAAGCACTACAAAACAGAAACCCTAACAACAAATTGTATCTAACATCATTAATCTAACAGCAAATAATGGAGTGCCAGTATGCCATGGACTCCATTATTTGCTGTTATCATTGCACAATGGGGTAATTTTGCAGTAGATAAAATGGTACATTTAACCATGTAATGAGCCTGGAATGAGCAGGCGAAAACCAGATCTGATATGGTGGTATATATATACCAGGGTACACTATATATCATAATATGGTATATAGTGTACCATGCTGCTTTTACCATTACGCTTCTCACAATTTCAAACTTGGATTCACCAGAGATCCTATGCAATACAAAACCAAAGATTGAAATAAACCAGTGATTGTAAACAATTAAAAGTAGCAATTCCAGTAGTAAACCAACAGTTAACAAATATGATAATGATATGGCCAATAATAGGCCACTGTCTCTTAAACAAACACACACACAATAGATTCTACAGATTACAGACAGTATTCTTTGTTAGGCTGCATTAGTGGCCACACAACATACACAAATTCTCGGAATGTTGAAGTAATAGTATGAGCCAGAGTGGCTACTTTAGTAGTCTCGGCCCTACATACAGAACAACGTAGATAAGAGGCTAAATGCAGAGAATAGAGTTCAATTTGCATTTACATATTTCTTGTAAACCAGATAATCTTATGATGGGTTGGATATGCAAAAGACAGTTTAACTATGTCACCATACACCACCTAAGGAAGACGTAAGACTAAAGTACTCTCTTTCTATTATAATACAACTAAAACTATTTCTTTTGTACACTAGGAGTTAAATTTAATAGCAACAAAATAACCACTCATGAAATACAAGAATGTATTCCACACCATCATTGTTGTTTGTTGGGACATAGTCAATACTACACTGCCACAATTATGTTATGCTATAATGGTATAACATAATTTGTTGATATTATAAAATTTAACTTTTATCTCATTAGCTACTTTTGGATTGACTAATTTGCCAGAAATTGTTGTTTCCAATTTCTTCCTACATACTAATATCTATAAGAATCATTTGAAGGTTCTAATTTTAACAAATGTAATAAGTAAAACAATCTATCCCAGATTTGTGAATAACAATCTTCTTACAAAGTCTTTTTTGAAGCTATGAAATATGTACCACTAAACTGTTTTCCTTTTAATACATGACATAAGCTAGGACTATAAATTTATTTCCATATCCTACTTTCCAGTCTCATGACAAATAATATGTAATAAAAGCAGACATTCCAAATTGAGAGTAATATATTTTTTTAAATATGTGACAAATGGATACATGTCACTAAAGTAGAATCATAAGAACACAAAGTACTATTCAAAATGGAAAAAATGCAAATATAAAATACTCAATGTATTTTGTAATTCAAATGTTAAGATATTGACTTATCAAAATAAAATTATTGTTAATAATTGTAATCAATCAAAGCAATAATTTTAAAAAATCTGAACTATACATTTAGTAAGTAGTATTGACACAGTATTCCAGGCTGCAATGATTGAAATTATTTTTATACTAGTCTACAACAAAAGAATGTCCCTAAATAATGTACTTGACAAGCCATAACCTCATTTACTCATTTCCAATGATGTGACACAATCAGGTCTGTACTTTAACAAAATTTCTTATTGGACCTAACAGTTTACTAACCAAACCAAGGAACACCAAAGGCTCAATGATGCCCATGTATACAGTGCAATGTGTTTGTCTCCTTTGTTTAAGTAACACATAGGCACACAGATGTGATATGTTCTAGAACATCAACCACATTTGTATTGAGTGCATCTTAATCAAAGACATGGTTCAGAAAATATTTCATCATTAATCTAGGTTTAAATATTCTTAAATAAAAGATTAATTGAAATAAAGCATAAAAGATCTAAAATCATTCATTTCACCATGTACTCAAATGACATAAAACTATCTAAACATAGAGCCAAATAAATTAGAAAGATATATAGGGTTCTTCACGTTTGATTTCATGTCAAGTAGTTTACGAGAAATATTCTATATACAAAATTAGGTACATAAACATTTAACACGCCACAAATTACTATCAAATGTAAAATTGAAGCAACCGGCGCAGTGCGGTAAAATAATGATAGACAATTTCCAAAAGGTAGTAAAATAAAAATGTATACCTAAATAGAAATAACGCAATGCAGCATCCAGACAATGGCGAAGGTCGATAGTTCGATGGCTAATTTACTCTGCGAAAACGCTCATTTTCATAAAGAAATTAGCAGAATATAAAAGGTAGGATTAAACAAATAATTTACAAACCTTTAACAAGTATATTTTGCTGTGAAAAGGCGAATAACGAAACGCGCAGAATGTTCTACCACGCCGTAACTATGACAATATTCATCACTATGTAAATAAATAAAAAATGAGCATCAAATCTCAAAAAATATTTTTTTAAATAAAAATGGTTTTTTCGATGAATTTAGTTAATGTTTTGTCACGTTCTCATTTTAAAAAGAGGAATACATCACGGTATATTGATTTTCTGCGTTCGTTGGTTGCGATAAGTGTTGCAAGATTCCATTCATCAAAAGTTACTTCTATGTCAATTAATTTTGAAAGCCGAAAAGGGCAGATCTGTACGGTTAAAATGTTTTACTCGTTACAAAATTAAATCCTTAGCAAATCTTATTATGAAAAGTATAAAGCGGCCTTAGGACACCCCATTACCGATATAAAACAAAAATCAATTATCATGAATTAATTGCAATCAGAGATATTAGTAGTCTCAATATGTTCCTCAAAGAAGTCATGTAGAAATATTATATTTATCATACTCCCGATCGATGATTCGAAATATTCTAATACTGTTGGCTACAGCTGACCTTCACAGGTTCCCCGAACTATGTGCATTGCAAATAACACTCCTAAACAGCGGAAGGACTTATGAAGCTACTCAAGGCAGCTCTTGTTTGATGGGTACGAAATACTTTAGTCAAAAGGGCTAGCGGTTCGTATCTCGGTTCAGGCAGTCATAATTTCAATCCCTGTTTGAGTTGGACGGAGGATAGATCGGAGGAGCCCCGTGGCGCCGCGCCGGTATGATGCGCCTGAATGCGCATAAGAGCCTGTTTGATGGAACTAGATACTGTGGTAGAGATTGTGGTCTTCGCCGGCGATAACGACGTCGTGTATTTGTGTTATAACATTGTGGGAATGTTGAACCGGTTTTTTAATAAAAACTTGTCGCAGAATGCATAATCGACCATATTGCCTACAAAATCGTTTCAGTTATAATTAAGAACAGTGGAAGAAACGTCAAGACGCTTCCTGTGTGTTTGATGATGAGCAGAATGACATCGCGGCGAAGATCCGGGTCGCAACCAAACTACAGGGCGCAACAAGACTGTATTTTGAAGTATTTGATGTTGGTGAATTTGGCAGAGAGGTGGCCATGGCCATATACGGGACTAGCGTATGTAATAGTCCATCCGTCCCGGATGCAAGCTTTTTCTACTCCCGGCTAAGGTACACCGCCAAAACACTTGTCAAGCATGAGAACGGTTTTTTGAAACCGTTTCATAATTTATTGGTGGACTTAGCAAATGTAAACAGGACTCTATCATCTGCGAAGAGTGACGTTTCGACTATTCGACTAAAATATATGAACAATAACTATTGCTATCATAACTATTATTTGTATGTATTCTTAACTAACGCACATGTGGGTATATTGCATAAAAGCTTGTATTTGTAAACTATTCAACTGAGATGTCATTAAGGCACTGATCTCGGATGCCCTCTGTGGTACCTATACACCACAAACTCTGCTTAACTTGGGACTACATGGTGCTGAGTAAATTGTCCTGGGTTACAACGATCTACACTAATATTGGTAAGTATGATTATCAAATAATTCATATTAAGGATAAAAGATATAGTTGGCCCTTCATATGCATGTCAATTCGATACATCATAATCTGTCGTAAACACAGTTGAAATACACACATTCCTTCACTATATGGTACATTCGCTTTTCAATACCGTGAAGACATTTTCGACTTATTATTGTGTAAAAAACAAAAAAGTTGTCTGATTAAATGTTATTATCCAATCGTACCTAAAGTGTACAAAATATGAATAAATAGCAACACAAGTATCGACATTGAATGTGACCAGCCCATACGAAAAAAAACTACGATAATAGTACAAAATGAAATGGTCAATTTAAAAAGAAACGGTTAATAGTAGAATTCTGATACAACACGCAACCATGATTACGATCATACATTAAGAGGTACAATTAATGATAAGTATTAATATCATTTGGACTAACGTGTTTAGTGTATTTAGTATTACAAATATATATGAACTAAGAAGCCTTTACTTTTTCTGTTGTGTATTTTTAACAATAATTGAAATTTAACTTTAAGTTATACTCAAAAAGTATAAAAGTTGAATGTTCAGTTCTAGATCAAATTTTTTGTGAAAACTGCTTTTCACAAATCTTGATTTTCTCCAGTTATTTTACAATCGTCAGAAATTATTAATATAGTAATTTTGTATCTAGTTGCGTTGTTCTACTGGGTTGCCGGAAGTGGTAAGACGTACAAGAAAACGACAATACATATTTGGATTCTTCCATATTTTGATCTGAAGAAACTAATGAGTTTTATCGTAATAAGATTTATTTCAATAAAAATTTCGTTTATTATATTATAAGTACATTGAAGAAAGTAATTGCGTAATTTAACACAAATCTGTGATTATTACTGAAATCATTATGCAAACTATATAGCTCCGTTTCAGCAAATATAAATTAATAATTTTTTATTTTTTGTTAACATTGTTTAGTTAATGCGTAGAGCGTATTATCGCAATAAGCCTGTCGATTAATAACTGTCGAATCCTTACTCCTGAAGCGGTACGTTGATTGGGCAATCCAAACAGGAGCGTTTAGACTAAAAAAAAGTTTTTTATTTTATTTTAAGGTTGGCAACTCTGGCTTTTGCCTGTGGTACTAATTGCTACATTAATATTCTTTAATATTTTAATTTAAATCTTTTTAATTAGTGATTTAAATATTAGACCTATGATACCAACAAAATCATGATTATTTCGATTGAAATTAAATAAACGTGCTATGACTTGTATTATTAAAAAGAGCCTAGGACACGAGGGTTCTCTATTTCACTTAGACAAATTAAAAATTGTGGTGTAAGTAAGGTAAACCTGCAATAGCCGGCTTAAACCTTTGGCTTAAAACTTAAGTCTTTGGCGAATGCACATTGTGCCAAGCCATAATAAAATATAATGTAATAATGTCTACGTCACTATTGTCTGTCACTATTGACCATATTGTTCAATGTTCTGTGTCTATACGTGACATCAGTGTCATGTGTAGTGTAAGTTTTTATTTTGTTGTTTTCGTCATTGGTACATTAACTTTCCTAAATTAATATAATTTATTATCATAATAAATTATAAGTGTCTATTGTTTCCATACTACTTTTAAAAGACTTAATTTTACTTTAAATTAGTACAGTTTTAAAAATGACTTTCATACCTAACTGGGAAGAGTTTGAAAAGTCTGCAGAAATGTTGTATTTGCGGAATCCTCTCAATACTCGTTACAGTACTAAGTATTCACATTCAAAAGGAGTGTTTCTGGTCAAAATTACAGACAATAAAAAGGTAATAAAAATGTAAAAAGTACTTAATTGATTTCAATTCATGTCTGGATTTGTAGAATCGTGTACCTCACACGATTTATCATCCGAATGGTAGGCCCATTCTGTTAGATCATGACAAAATAATTATGTGATTTTTTTCTTGGGATCAGTTAGACTTCCATGGTAATGAAAATAATACACAATCTCTATCTGTTATATTGTCTCGATTATACAGAAACCAAATGAATATTTGGTTTAGATATATTTTTTATAAACAGATTACCTCTATAAGGGTGCAATGTAGGGTCTTGGGGCAGACCCAACATTGACTCTAGGTATAACAACCCCTGGTACTGGATTTAAGCTCTTTTATGTGTTCAGTATTATTTCATTTTTTTTTATTAGAGCAATTGGACATAAGTCTATATATATAGGATATGTTTACATATATAATATGGGAATTGGCAGAGAGCTGATGCAGGGCAGGAGGGAAGAAGGGGATTGTTAGTAATAGGGACTAGGATCCCATTCATAGTAACATACCATGTTGGGTCACTCACATGTCACTGGTACCTTGCCAGCGTACATCATTAGTGCATGTAGGAGAAGTTTTCTATTGTCATCCATTAAAAAAAATATGATAGTGGAAAGATGGGGGAAATTAGGAAAAGTAATGTAATGTAAGTGTGATATATACCATATTTTATATGTAAAACAATAATGAGTTTCATGTTTTTTTATTATTTCCCTGTCCCTGTCAGCTGCCAACGTTTGTGACATCTGTCCCTAGTCTGATGTGACAATATTTTGTGATATTACCCTACTAAAGCAAGTATAAACTGAAAAATACTTAAATGAGTTTTTGACTTTTGAAATGAATGAAAATAAAACATTTTGTGCCATTTGCCCTTAAATACTTAGCAGTTCAATATGGAGGTTAAATGTTCTAATTAAATAACTTTAATTATTAATTTAGTAACTAATTTTGGCACATATAATAATTAAAATAAAAAAAAACAGAAAAGAAGTATATTAATATTGATGATTAAATAAAATATAATCTATTTCTTACAATTTCAGTGTCTTCAATACAAAACTGAGGTTCAGCAGGATGTACGGAAAATTGACAAATTTATCACAAACCTAATGAGGCATATGGCTTCTGATGAATAGATTAAGTAAATGTTTTATTTAAAAACACTTTTTTTAATTTGATATCTACCCTACATATATACCATTACCAGCCAACTATATACTAACTTTATACCCATTATTAGATAAACTCAAGAAATGTTTTACATTATGTGTTAAGAACTGATAATTTCAGTGAGTAAAACAGTGGACTGTTTATATCATCTGTAACTGGTGTATTTTTGGATAATTAAATTACAAATTTTAGCCCACTTATAGAATGTGAATATAAATATAAAGAAATATATGTACATCGCCATGTGTCTCAGCTGCCAGTGGCTAGCGGCGGCTGCATCATCTTATAATCATGCCCCCAGGTCTCATTGGGGACATCATGTTCACTGTTTATGGCTTGATAGACTTAAACCGAGCGGGACATATAAATATGTCAAATGTCAAACTTTCGTGTATGTGTAGGAAATATGTATACCTACATTTTTTAAATTTCTGCTGCGCCCTGGAACCTGGAGCGGGTGGAATATTTCATAACAAAAATATATACATTGAATTATATTGTGCTAGTGAGAGACAGTGCCCATTATATGCTGCATAATTCAAAAAGGAATTCCCCGGTTAACAGGTTAAAGGATGTATATCACTTAATTTTAACTAGGTTTTAGAATATTAGTGTTCTGTGACTCCAAACTCGGTTAGCTCAGTGTTTAAAGGTAAGACTCAATTTAATTTGTATAAGGAAAGGCAAACTTTTTAGTATACCATGGATTCACCATGCGGGTCCAGGATTTTCCTAAGCCATGCATCTTGGTAACTGAGATGTTTATAAAGTTCCGAAGGTTTCTAACTATAAATTTTTAGGTTGAATTTAATCAACCCAAAACTTGTGGGGGGAAGGGGATTGTTAGCACTGGGAACTAGTAGCTCCTATTGCTAGCAATGTACCATGTTAGGTCGCCCTCCACGTGCTTCTCCCTGGAAACCATCGTGATGATTTCTTGGTGAATTTGTCATGATGGGCTAACTGACCTGACCTCATGCTCATTTTATTATCCTCCACTGGTAACCCGCCAGCGTAAATCGTTAGCACAGGCGGGTGCACCATTCCATTGTCATCCATAAAAAAGTACCCATAGTACATATACATAGAGGTACTGTTTATAATTACCAAAAATGTATTTAATTAATAAAAAAAACTCCTAGACCAATACAAATAGTAATATTTATAAATACAAATGAATCGTAAATAATATTCATAAATACATCGAAGTGCGAAGAATCAAAACCACGACCGCAAGAAGTAAACACAAAATTTGCAGTTTCAATCGTTGAGCAACTAATCACTACGCTTATTTTTGTTTAGTACTTATTTCAACTTTTAAATGTGGCTACATATTAATTTAAAGATTTAAAGAATATATACATATAATTTTTAGAAACTAGCTTAGCTTGTTAGCTTTCAGCTAGTTAAAAATAATAGTTCCTTAAAATTGAGTTTTGATGAGTAGATAATATGCACGTCTTTTATCGTTTCGGGTTTTAGTTTAAAGATATCTACGTTATATTGTATTGTTTCACGTACCTTATTACCTTATTATTATACCTTAAGCTACCTTCTACCTTGACATTAATTTGACATAGAATTCATCATCGCAGTTTGGAACCGAAGTGGTTACGAATATTGAGGTTTCAGAGGAGTTCCTTCTTGTGTAAACTCAAATTGTATAGGTTTACGCGACCCTGTGAATTTAACTTAAAGTATTTATCAATTCAAGTCATTACCCATCCAATTGTGAAATTACATATGAATATTCATTTTCTGTAATGTAGGTATATTTTACTTTTAAAATACTACACAATTAATTACATTTTTGCACGATAACAATAGTTATTTCTAATAAAAAATAATTATAGTGATTTTTGCTGATTAATTGTAGGCGTTTGACGGACAAGTGTTACATTTCTACTTTATCATAATGATATCATGATTTCTTAAAAGAGTTTTTTTTAATAGCAATACTAATTGCTTGTCACTTTCGTGTTCCAGGACCTTAAAATACTTAATAAAAAAAATTGTTACTTTCGTTTTTCGTTCGACTACTCGAGTGAACTGTCAAAAATGTTGACGGAAATTTAGACATGTTATTTTACTGTCACACAGCGTGAAACATAAATAAAACATAATAGTTTTTCTAAAAATCATGACTTAATATTAGGCTGTAAACTATTAATATGAAGTAATACATTTAAAAATATAGCTGCCATTTACATATTTGTTTTATCTAATGACATTATGGATGGTTTAATTCACGCGGCATTGGAAGCTGAGGTATTTTATAATACAATATTACATATATTATTATAACGTTTATCGTCGCGACATAACGTGATCTGAAATTGTTGTTTATTTAATAAGAATATTTTATATTTCAGTCTATTCTGAACCGGGCGAAACATGTGAATAGTACTTCGTCACAATTTGACAGTGGTGTCCCAGACCATAAAATGACTTGGACCCACGATAAGATGCATCTGACTGAGTCTGTTGATAACTCTAGAATGAAATTTCAAAGGAACTCTGTTGGATCCGCCGCTTCTAAGCCAGAAAAGTTTGATTTGTTCAAGAAGCTTCATGAACTATATAATGATTTGAGTAGAGATGAAGCATCACAGGTGAACTATGTGAGTTTTGTATATACAATATTCAATGTAACTTATACAGCTACAATTAAAGACTAACTGTGTTACTAATGCCACATTAAGGTTTAATTTTATCACGGAATCAATTGTTTTCATTAAAGTAATCTGCCTGTGGTATAGTATTCCGTCTCTAGTCAGAGCTATAACTATGTTATTTTGGTATTGTTCTATTATATAATTACTTTAATTAACTTCATTTATTTTAATGGTCTTAAAAACTGAGGCATAATTGTAAGGTTATTTCCATATAAATTTTTGTTTATAATATGTCATAAAATAGGCCTCAATGCTCTATACATAATAATTTTAACAGTAGTGCTTGTAATAATTTTAAAAATTTATAAACTTAAAAACACCAATTATATAGAGAATTTGTCTGAACAGGGAAATTGTGGAGACGGGAATGAGTGCTTATTCTTCTGTCATTATGTTAAGTCAGTTAAAGTGGTGGAAGGTGGGAGAGGGAGGAAGGGGAGGAAGACTGAAATAAAATAGATATCTATTATCACCTTCCCATAGAAGGATTATAAAGTATAACATTCATTTCTATATATTTGTGTAGTAATTTTGATATTATTTTAATTACAGCAAGGTTTAAAGACATCATCATATCTACTAGAAAAGTTATTGGCAACATATAATCTAAATACATTAATAATTAACTTGTATCCAGGAAACAAAGGATATTCATTGTCTCTGAGAGTTAATGGCAATACACAATATCTACATCCATCAGATGCTAATGTAAGTATTATAATAATTAGTTTATAATAGATGGCACATAACTCTATACATGGTATAACTAAATGTAAATAAAAATAATATGTATACTATAAACTCAACTGATATAAGAAACCATATCAGTTGAATTTCCCATCAGTTTTTCTAAAGTGACTGCCAGATGATGATTATTGTAATAAATCATTAGCTTTGTGTATTACTTAATAAATGAGCTAAGTTATAAGTTATTTAGACAACAAAATTGAACAATCTTTCTAAATAATTTAGCATATAGTTGTTTTGACTATATTAGGATACATGAACAATTAAATTTTGTACATATAGATTCTATAGACTAACAGAATGGTAAACAGTTGAAATCAGCATTTATAATAAATAAAATGTAGAAAAATGTTCAAAAAGTGAGAGTATACTAATATGTTCTGGTAATAAAGACAAGGTTTCAATAAAATATAATAATAAAAATGTCTTTTGTATGCAGACATCATCAGCTCAAGATGAGACTTTAATAGAAACACCACGATGGCCATATGAGGAGGAGGAACTTTTGAGTTACATTGACAATGAAGAGCTACCTGTTGTGCTGCTTGACTTGTTGGAATCTGAACACTCATGTCTTTTTTACTCAGGGTGTATAATAGCTCAGATAAGGGATTACAGACAGGCATATCCTAGTTTTCTTTGTGATACACACCATGTGTTGCTAAGGCCTACAAATCAGGTATGTACTTCAGAAAATATGTTTCATCTTCTATATTATTATTCATATACATTATTTGACTAGGCTCCTTTCTCTGTTATAAAGTTCTTATATTTTTATAAAATAGGTAATAAGTATAAATAAAAGTCTTACAATTTCAATAGACATGAATATATTGTATAGATGAGTCTATTAAAATGATTGGTTTTGTATTTAGTGAACTATGAATATCCATCTGTCAGAAAATATTATAACAGTACAGCTCATTTATATTATCCAAATTACGTACGCGCGATTTAGATCCCGAATTTTCTAAGAATTTGTGTATGAATGACTGATGTGCTAAACTGCAGCTAACTGTTCACTTTAATATTCTGTGACAAATCATTTGAATAAAATTTTCCTCAGTATATGGTGTAAAATAACATATAGATATATACAGGACAACTGTCTTGTTCAGCCTAATCAATGGGTGATTCTCAAAGTATTATATCCAGTCATTCTAGTGTTCTTATGAGATCCTAACATAAGGAATATGTAACAAACATATTGTATTGCATCATCATACAGAGAGTATACCACAAGGTAAAAATAATGAATGTCGGTATGTACAGAGCATAATAACCGACGCGATGTGTATCGGCGGACGATGCGGGTGGGCGGGCGAGGAGCGTGGGGCGCTGGAGGCGTTGGAAGCTGCGCTGGTGCATGCGGCGGCTCCCCCGCTGTGCCTAGACCCGCGGCCGGCTGTCGGATTGCTGGCTGCCCGGCTGCACGCTGCACCTCGCTTACTCAACACACCACGCATCAGGCGTCAGGCGAAGAGGTTCTCACAGGTTAGGTGTATGGCATAGTACTGGAGTATGACTATAGATAAAAATGCTTGCATAGTATAACTATACTATGCAAGCATTTTTATCTATGGTTAGTTACAAGAGCAAGAAATGAGGAAGAATATTTTGGAGGTGAGATTAGAGAAGCTAAGAATAAGGATAGAGAGAGGTAGAAAATGTTACAGCAGGTCTTTCCCTACAAGTCATAATCGGATTGATGCATCATAGTACATAATTATAATGTGAAATACTATACTGTCTGAATAAAGGCTTTATGTAATGATATTTGATATTACATTACATATGTATGTAATGTAATATCAAATATTTTTTTTTATAAAAACCAATCTATTCATGCTTTTTATAGAATTCATTATTTCACATCGTCTACATAACCAAATACAAACAATTCATATCAGGATACTTAGACCACAATAATGATTTAAATACATTTTTATTTCTCAGGTTGCAGTAAATAGAAAACGTAAATTAGATCAATTCACACATTATCATGGATTAGAGTTGTTGGAACTAATACACAAACAGAGGGTGAAGAACAGTAGACAGTCTGTGCCTCCTACAAGGTTGTCATCCAAATACCCAAAGAAGCCTCCAGAGGTATTTAATTTTTGTTGATTTTTGAAACAAATATGGTTTTTTTTAGAATATAGTATAGTTAGATATATATATATATATATTTGTAATGTCCCTGTTTAGGTTTTCAAGCCTATAGAAGCTCCAAGAATGGATCCACTATCTTTGGCTATGCCATCAGAGCCAAGTGGACCACTTCGGGTAGCACGAGCTTATGAGCGTCCAAGGCCTACTTCAGACTGTCAGCCACAACTCTTTGAAGAGTACATTCTGGAGACAGAAAAAACATCTCCACACGCCGGAGCTGGCTTCTTCCATATAAAACTATCAATACTACAGAGACCGTCCGATCAAGAGTTCCTTGGTGAATTATATGTAGATAGAGATCATGTTGAAGGGGAAAGAAATGGAGCTGCATGTAGATTTTCTTTAGGTAAGACATTATATATTCTTTTTTGTGTTAATTGTCAGTCAGCAACTGTATGTAGCCTCTGCCTTGAAATTGGTGGGTTGTTAATTGTTAATTTAATAGCTGAATATAACATGACTTTAAAACTACATTTTGTAGATATAGTCTAGTGTAAATATAGTTCTTAAATGTACTCAATATACCTTTGAGGACTATATTTATACTAGAATTTTTACCCAAATTTATGATTTCAGTAAATTTAACAGAATTATATTGCGACTAGCAAACACCTTTGATGTCTGCCTGTCCAGAAAAGCAGATCCACCATGCTGCTTGTACTTTCAAATCATTGAGGAACCCATTGAAATTTACACACAAAATATCATTCAAATCAGTCCAGCCCTCAGGGTGATATGCACCATACAAAAGTATTATATATGTGCTTTTGTATTTTCTCATTATATAAATTCCATTTGTGTTACATCCCAGTTTATTTTTACAGGGTCAAGAGTACAAGCTAACAAATATATACAACAGTTTACGGAGATATTCACTGAAGAGGGTCGTAAATCAGTCAGAATAAAGCACATTGTACCTGGACAGCTTCCAAGAGTGTCATTTACAGGAAGCATGAGAGAATTGGTATGTTGTATTATATTATTAATGACATATTAAGTTAATTTGTTTACTAGTGTGTCTTTTACATACATTAATCAATATCGTTTTCTACCATAGATCACAATTATTTTACATAAGTAACGATATGTATTTGCATATGTAATTAAATACAAATTACATAGACTTTTGTTGAAACTAGCAGTTCCGACAAACATTGTTTTGCCATATATATTAATATCGCAATTAAAAAATAGAGGTTGATGGTAGAGAGGTGAAAATTTTGAGTGGCACCTTAATATTTTATACAAAAAATTTAAGAATTGTAAAAAGATGGTAATGTTGGTAATGTTGTTATCTCTGAGATAAAAAACAGTCTATAGTTTTCAGAAGCAGATTTAAGATTATGACAATTTTTTTACAACTGCATTAGCACTTCATTAAATCTCGGCGGCTGTTCGGTTTAGAACATCCCATTAAAATCAAACATTTGTATTCACGAATATAATTATTTGTATTGGTTTTCTATGTATATTATGTATGTATTTATAATTATATGTTATATATATATATAACTAATAATATGTTAAAATAATGTACGATAAACATTATAATAATATGATAAACATCAAAAAAATATTAGCAGGGTCAACAATTGTTGCTTCAACGGTCGGCGGCGGCTGCCGCGGCGGCTGCAGCGGCCAGCAGCGCAACTGTACACACTCACGCCACTACAGTGCCTATTGTGTGAGTACTTAGTTTCTTAGTCTTACTATTAGACCTTAGACCTATTAAACTGTGCATATGAGGTAATTTGTCCAAATGGACAAAACTTCGTCGTGTAAACGGGGTGATAAACATGTAATGCAATATATAAAAATGTCACAATTTTTAAGGCCTAACGTTCGTTGAGGAAGCTTCTTCGTCTGCGAGGCCTTAATCTATACATATAAATAAAATTGGAATGTCTGTTTGTAATATTGAAATAACCGTGTTTTACTATGTAGTATTATATTTATATGTATGTGCATATAAATATAAATACGGTACACACACTAAAATAACATTTTTTTACCCTTTTTGTCTGTCTGCCTGTTTGTTCCGGCTAATCTCAGAAACGCCGGGACCGATTTTGACGGGACTTTATTTGGCTACCTGCCAAATAAAGTCCCGTCAAAATCGGTCCAGGTGAAGTAATAAGGAGTAATAAGGAGTAACTTAGGCTACCTTTATTTTAGAAAAAATGTTTTATTTTAGAAAAATAAAGTTAAATTCCACGCGGACGGCGTCGCGGGTACAGCTAGTTTACATTTCAGACTACTGTAATAAGATTATTAAAATTAAAGTGGTATAAGTATTAAGATTTATGATATTATTTACAGGACATCTGCAATTGCGCCAACTCCGAATACTCATACAAGTACACGTCAGTTGCCGATACTGGTTAGTAAACTTTCATATCATATTTTAATAAGTAATTTAAAATAAACAATATCGAAATTGATTATAAATTGTCAAGGTACATTTGTGATAAATTTGCTGTCTATATTATACATTTATAATATTAAAATTAATTGTTATTCATCTGGTGGTGAACTATTCAAAGATCAACCCTACGTAGTAGGTAAAAAGAAACAAAGTAGTTTAAAAGAAATATGATTTTCTTCGCTTGTTTTATTTTTATCTAAAACAACACAATAGTTTTGAGAGCATATTAATACTTGATTAATATATTTTCTTGGATTATAACATGATGGTATTATCAATATGTAGGAGGCAATTTTTTTTTTCAATTATATGTGACATTGAACTGTAATAGCAGGCACAACTTCAGCAAGTTGGTAGCATAGGCAACGTGGCGGCCGTCGGCAACGTGGTGGGCAGTGTCGGGACAGTTGGCAGTGTGGGCAGCGTCGGTAGTGTGGGCAGTGTTGGCAGCGTGGGCAGTGTTAGCAGTGTGGGCAGCGTTGGCAGTGTGGCAGCGGAGACTGTACTCAAACAGCAGCCTTCGCCCAGTACTCCGCGGTTGTCTCCACAGGTGAATATTGTATTGTTCTTAATTTTATGATGCTAGTGACTTCTAGTTACGTCAATCTACGTGCAACGCCAGTGACTAATGTTGGCGTAACTATTTTGTCGCAAAATCGACTCTGTATTATCGAGGCTATCCTGTGACAAATGGTTAAAATATACCTTAGTAATATAACTTCGCATTTTTGACTCTCTTTAAGTTGTTTTGAATGGCGAAAAGTTGTACATATGTGTATGGTGATTTTACAAATATATGTGTATGAATGAGCAACAGATTTAACAGACCTTTTTATATAATAGTAGATATTTTTAGGTAATTGAAATGCCAAACATGGTGACAGACCGCCCTCCTGATGGTGAGCAGTACCCATTGCCACCACAGACATCTCGTTCGTTTCGTTGCTATTCCAGAGTATTAAGATATAATGCCTTTATTCTGTAATTGCGTGTGCAAAGAAATTTGAAATATCACTTAGAGGCACTAAACTTCATTACACTGTAATGAGTCCAGTACACTTAATGATGGAAGTAGTTATATGAACGTGTCAATAGTATTCTAAAGTTATAATATAAAATCCGGTACAATTAGAAAATTGCATACCACCTCTATGTTCTTTTTAATCATAAAATGATTTAATAACAGGTGCACGACATCCACTCAACGCAGGCGTCGTCAAACCAATTACTCGCGCAGCAACTTACTAATCCCCAACAACCACTGAATCCACAAAAGATGCAGTCGGCTATAATACATATACAGCACCCGCTCATGTCTACTGCTGGCACGTCGCAGGTATTTTGTTGTATAGTAATATTATATATGTTAGTAGCTGTGCACACATTTATTACGCATTGTTTGATTAAAAACCAAGCTTCGCCATGATTCAGTCCAATAAAAATGTTTTTGTTCGCATGGAAACCTAGCCATAGAAAGTATATAAACCTTATGTTACTGTACTTTATACAATAGATATGCATCTTTTTTTATTAATTTAAAGCAATTTCGTCAATTTGCTAGAAGCTCATAACTAGATTGATGTATGAGAATCATACGGAGCCTGAATTTATAAAAATATATGGATATAAGTATATTATTTTTAGGTACAAAATATTCAGTACACAAACACGTCATCAACACAACAGAAAGCGACAATTACAAAACCGCGAACAACGAATCCTGCCATCAGTGCGCTAGTGACTAGCCTGATGAATTCAGCACAACAGTTTCAGCAAGGTTAGTTGATACTATTAGTTTGGAGCAGAACAAGGTATCAGTTAAGAGCAAGGTTCACTTTAATATATAATTATTAATAAGGAAATGATAAGGAAATAATTAAGGATTCCTTTCAACGAATATTTACTAAAACAAATGCTATAAGCCCGGCAAATTGTGGTCTTTACATTTTTTTGAGGATGACTAAGGCATCCACACAAATTTGGACAGTGAAGCGGAAAAAAGAGGCTGCGAGTTCATGTTTTACAAACTATGCCGCAACATAAGATATTACTGATTTTATAAACGCGGCATTATTTAAGTGTGGATGGATATTGGTTACTCTTTCACGCAAAAACTAATAATGTACCTTATACATTAGAATAATAGGCTATCAATTTGGCGCGAGGATAATCGCGGGCACAGCTAGTAATATATCGAGCACTGGTAGTAGTTTTTGTTTTTAAATAGTACATTATTATTATCTCTAGCAGCGAGCCAGAACGCCGCTAAGAACGTAGCGAGCACTTCTAACAGCAACGCGACGATACTGAACCTGCTGAACAGCGCGCCGGCCGCGATGACGCACGTGACGTCATCCGCGGAGTCGCCGGACACGCACAAGTTGCTCGGCCGCGTGTCCATCGCGGGCGCCCGCCTCCTGCCCGCCACCACCGCCTCGCATCCCTCGCATCCCTCGCATCCCTCGCATCCCTCGCATCCCTCGCATCCCTCGCATGCACTTCCGGCGTATACACAACAGGTGGGATCATATTTGTATTTACTACGTTGCGATAAAAATAAAGAAAATATATCTATTCTTTTATGTCCCAGAAATATAAGCAAATTTTAAGAAAGTGAAATTTAATTTTCTTCTATTTGTTACAACCTATTGAACAACTAATATTAGATTTTGGATCATGTATGTATCATGTCAGCTATTAGCCATAGGACTGATGCTTCTTCACTTGATACATTAGTCTTTTATAAGATCTCTTAAGCGATGACCATGGAACTGTGGGGTTCAATCTCAACTAGTATAGTTTAACAAAACTACATATAACTAATTAGCTCCTAGTTTATTTGTAACTCGGAGGTTTATCACACACAATAAATAAAAATATAAAACCAAACTACTCAGACACCCAAATAAACTTGCTGTGTAACTGACACTGTCGGATTATATGACACGTCTTAAGAGATGTAAAATACCAGACTTCAAGAACTTGACATAAGCTGGAATATCTGATGCTGAATTGTCAATGCAGAATCACCTTTCACGTGATTTTACGACATTTGACAAATCTGTTTATAGTCTGGAAGACAGATTGCACGATATAAAAACAAAAATGGAGGTATAGTGTAACATGATATCGATATAGTTCTAATTGTCATAATGAAATAAATCACATTGAATGCAGGGTGTGGGTGTACAAGTAATGAGCGGGTACGCGCGCGAGAACGAGTCGACAAACGTGTCGAGCAGCGAGAGTGCGCTGCTTGAGCGGCTTATAGGTTCCGAGGGCGCGCCAGCCACGCAACAGCAACCACAGGCGCAACAGCAACCTCAAGCACAAGCGCAACCTGTCTGCCATTTACAGGTATTTGTTTTAGTTTTGACTAAATAAATACTTGAATACACTGTGTTGGTCCTTTGTAGGAGATACGTAAAAATAAAGCTATAACGAAAAACTAATAGTTAAATAGTAATCTCTTCTATTTCAACTTTAATATGTATAGTTGAAAATATTATTAAAATAATGTGGTATATATCGCATTCAAGTGCATACATTGTACTACTAAGATTAACGAATTTTGCAACACCAATATGTGTGTTACGGCACGAGACTGACAACAATTACTATATTTTCTATTTGTAGGGGTTTTGTTCCTACACTTGTTAATAATGATAAATGATATTGATAATTGATAATCTACGGGGATGATAAATAAAAGATACGTCCCGTAGTGAGCGCTTGATGTTATACACTGATTTATTGTATAGTAATATATGTATAGTGAAATGATATATGCTACGTAAGTGATAATTTATAAGTATATTATTATTATGGTACGGTGTTCCGTACACTATTAAATAACTATATTAAAAGTGTTGTGCCTGTAATTTTATTTATAATAATACATAAATATGTATGTCAGTTGGTTTAATATTTTAACTTCAGGGCTTAAGCCTAGCATCTCTCCAAGGGCTGCAAGGTATTCAAGGTTTGCAGAATGTGCAAGTGCAAATACCGGGGTTGTCGGCGCCAATATCGCTGTCGCTGAACATGTCTGGTGCTCCAAGCGGTCTGCTCGTCTCCGTCCCCTCCACCACGTCTGTGGTGCTTACTAATCAACCGTCGGTGCTTTCGTTACCTATTGGTGAGCTTTTTTAAAATTTATGTTGTTTTAACTACCTACAAATTATAAAATTTTATTTATTTAATTGTAATGCCAAACAAATTGATGGCCCACCCGATAGATAGTGCTAACGCTAATGTACACAACTTGACGGAAGTTTTTATAAAGCAATTTACTACTACTACGTAGATGGTCCTGTATAAAGCCATCTGTGGACTTTCTGCATAATTTTCATGAAATGATTTGAAAAGAATATTTTGACCGCTTATGAACGTTTTTGTATTAATATTTTATCCCCACCGTCCAGTTCAGTATACAAATTATATTGGAAGAACTGACAAGAGACTGAATTTTTATTTTTTCAAAAGCCAGTTTATTTACTCTTTGTACTTACATAGGTGTCTATGTCTAACATTAAATGAAAATCCCGTGCATGAATAACTATTGCGTATAGCATTCATGACGTTCGTCATCAACACACATTAGTATATATTAAAGTATAAGCGACTATGTGCCTATTCGGTTTCCACTTAATGTCTGTTATTGTTTGGCGCCGACGTAACTTAAATGGTGTTCTCCCAGCGCACCTGATGTCTGGCGGCGTGAAGGGCGCGGTGCGGGGCGGCGCGGTGCAGGTGGTGCGCGGGGCGCGCGGCGGGCGGCCCCCCCCGCGGCCCGCGGCGCGCGCCGCCGCCCCCGCGGGCCCCGCCCCCGCCCCCGCCGCCCCCGCCGCCCCCGCCGCCGCCGCCGCCGCCGGCTCCACCGCGCACTCCATCGCCACGCTGCAGCCCGCCGCCGCGCCCTCCGGTGAATACTCTTTTTGATCTAATGTTTACCGCCGCCGTGGTATGACAAAATATATTTAGTGATGCATGTACATTGTACGCATATTATTTACGTTATAATAGATTAAAGTATTATAATAGCTTTATTTTTGTGACTGTACTGAAAAATATTTAGAAATGTGTGTGTGTGTGTAAGATATAACAGTGCTAATTACACTGTTATACATATAGGGTCGCAGAGAAAAAGTTAATACTTATATTATTATACTACGTAGACTAAGCATATTTCTCAAAACATTTGTTAATTCTTTAAAAACCTTTAAAAGATTAAATTTTACCTGAAGTAAACTGTTAATAGTCGTCTACGTACTTGCGTAGTCACCTAAATTTGAGGCAGGACATTCCAGTCCTCTGGAATGGGCAGCGTCCATGTCCATTTATGTATCTAGGCCATACAACGGTTACCGCTTATTATCAAATGGGCCGTCAGCTTATTTGCCGTTACATAAAAAATATAGGTTTTTAGTTTTTGTTGCTTAGAACTGAATTAACATTGTTGAGCTGTTTCACATCCATCTAGTGTACGAAACGACCATTTTTTATAGCTAATCATGGATTTTTTTTAACCTGCCTATACGCAGGCGGTATAGCAATTCTGAGAATTAATTTCACTTTTATTTTACGCATTTGCGAATTCTTATACCCCATTATTATCACAATGTCTTGTTTTGAAATATATGTGACCAGATTATATATTTCCAGGTACTACACAATTCATCACTCAAGCCCAGGCGCAGGCTTTAAACGCGCATCAAGTTAGGCGAAAATCCAACGCTGAGAGTTCATAGTAAATATATAATTGTAGTATACTGCCGGCCTAGAGAATGTCTGTAAATACACATTAGGTAAATTTATTGTAGGTGTAATTAAATTAAGATGACTGCTTATGGTGAATTCCACATGTAAAATGTAGTATTTAACAATTTTTTAAGAGACCAAACTATGCCATTTGGTTACAGCATTATAGAGTTAGCTTGATACCAAGTGCATGTGAATTTTATCCAAGCTTCATATTTTAGAAAAGGTAAATTATTTAATATTTCGACCTCTAATTATCGGACATACAGAGACATTTGATAATTTAAAAATCGAATTTCGTTGCGTAAATGATGTTTGACTACGATGAACTTTATTTTGTTTCTAATCGTTTTATCGTACATTATATTTTCTTAATTATACATCTCAATCATGTATTTTTTATTGTTCAAAGGTCACAAATATAAATATGAATTTTAATTTTATCGTAACTCCTGACATTATAGTGACATGGATCATGACATAATTTTGAAGTGTTGATGTGGTTATTAAAGTGTTTTACTAATTAAAAATATTGTTGATGGATTTGTTGAAAATATGTAAATATCTATGTTGTAGACCGGTGTTAGATTTGTTAATTTGTTTAAAATTAAGATACTGAATGTAATATACTACTGTAAATCAAATGGTTGATGTATATTAACTAAATCTCTATATCAATTTCTAAACGCAAGACCAAACTATTGATCGCAATTTTGCCCTAAAACGTTTCCCAAATATCATTTTATTTAAGGAAACAGAAACGTAAGATTTGTACACATACCTAATCTTGTATTGGTACTTAACTTATATCGATTAGGAAAATTCACAATATATGAATGAATTGGCCAGTATTATATGAATTATGCGGGCAATACTCGTTCAAGTGTTATTCACCGTACTTGGTATGTCAATAAAAGTACAATACTTTGCAATATTCGAGAATGTGTTATAAGATGTAAATATATAATAGGTAGGCTTATGTAAACATCACAAAATATGAATTAGGATTATGAATTTAATTTTATTGTACATTAAATAAAATATATCACGCCATTATTATTTACGCTATTACGAATAAAATAGATGTATGAGTTAATCGTGATATGTGTAAAGGGTCCACAGCGGCCGCTGGCTACAACGATTAATAATGTTGTATTATGAAGAATTTTGTAAATAAATGAAGTGATAAGCGGTGTCGGTCACCGTAATACTCAATAAAATAGGGATCAAATTAGTACTTTATAATTTTGCTTGTTATATGTAACTAAATCCAATGCAAATTAGCATTTAAGATAGTATGATCCCTCGGTGTTCAAGTTGCCAGCTGCATTTTAGCGCTAATTTGGCATAATAATATATATTTAAAAACTCAGTTGATAATATTTTAGACGAGTTGCACGTTAACATGTAAATTAATATACAGTTCATTATTCTATTTTTCATACGCACAATTATCATTTTTATCACTATTTTGTTATTTACTTTAACAGCATTGGTGATGTCTCCATCATTTATTTTATTCCGAATAATACCTAGACTGTTGCTATTACAATTAAAGGATGATAGTTATCAGAAATGTGTTCATATAAGCATTCTTTTATATTTGTAACAAATATTGTATATACTGTTTGCATCAGTATAAACTATGCATGAATATGTATATTTTAATTTAAGTAGGTGCATACTATGAGTCCAACGACAATTGCATTACCTGTCAAATTTTAAATGTTCAAATACGTAGGGCTGTGCGATACATTGAAATACTAATATTGATAATCTCCAATTTAAAATGGCAACCTGGCATGACTTATCCGAAGGAATGTTGAAACCGTCACCTATAGATACGAATTCGAAGAACTATGGATACTCAGAATAATTCTGTGATATCTCTAGTATTTATCGCCATTTTTGAGTACTAACAAATTTCTATATATTTATATCACTTCCTATAACATAATTATTATTCACACATATAGTATACGTTGTAGGCAAACAGCCTACTTTTATGGCTGTCTATAAGCCATAAAAGTAGGCTGTTTGCCTACAACGTATACTATATGTGTATTTATAGTGTTGATGATTATTTAATGTTGATTTTATTGAAACTGTAATGTTTGAAAATATTGTATATTCACTAAACTTATTTATTTAACTAGACTAGCAGTGTTCCGCGTCTTTATTTTACATAACTCATAATTAATTTTATATGATTCGATAGTTTTGTACACTGTAAGCAGTGCTGATCAGGATGAGATCTATGATGATGTCAACGACAATGATGCTGTATATGACGACGTCTAATAAGATGATTTTTTTAAATATCGTTTCAATGACATCAAAATCACCATCATCATTATGCATCATCAATCTCATCATTATTACCAACACCACCATCACCATCATTGTCATCATCGTCGTCGTCTTCATTACCTTCATCCACATCGACAAAAATTACGATTATTATTAATTGGAATCGTGATCAAACTAACGGCCCATCTGACGACTATGACGATACCGACGGATACATTGTTATCACATCATTTATTATCTCAGGCGGGTGACAGTATTATGAACTACATCGTCATGGGATACGCGCTATACTACTAATGTGTTGTCATCCTGGAAAACAGATATTTTTTGGTTTAATACCTTCTAATTTCACTGGCATATCTCATCACCTTTTAACCGAATAGCAACGTACATAGCAAGAAGACAAAAATACCAAGGTAGACGAATTTGTACAAGGTCCACCTCCGTTAAATTAACCAAGTTTGAACATAGTTAATCAAATACTACAAATAGTTAATTTAATTAATGATTAAGATTTTTAATAATTTGTTTTAATCGTCTATCAAGTTTACTTATAGCCAGCACTGACTTCATCTCAACATCATTTAACACGCGATTAATCTGAGTATGATATGTCAGCTCGGGACTTCTCCGGTAACAGATTGATTCTTACAGCATAAACAATATTCGCTCTATTACTGAAAGCTGTAATGTATATTGACAGATGTTAAAGCTATAGAGAGCTATAAAGATATAGGCGTGTAATTAATATATTTTGTGGTAAATGTGACAGGTAATGCAAACATTAGTCGTACGATACGTGTCCGCTTATTAAGAGCATGCGTTGCTGTACTTTATAATGTATTTATTTACGTCGTATAGCTCAATAATGTAAATGTGTTTTTTGTTATTTGTAAAATAATTATACTTTATTCGGAACCTGTAAATGTATATTTTAAGAGATGATAATATTATTATTGTATATATTTTGTAATTGAGATTTTTATACATAACTCGTTTTTATTCAGTTTCATTGTTGTCATTTCCACTGTCAACAATTTCTAGTACTGCATTGTAAATATAATTGTAATGAAATGTGATATGCCTTCTATTTACGTAGTGGTATATCCAAAAAAATATATGATTGCGTTGATATGGATTTGTAAATAAATTGATATTATAAATATTAACTTGAATGTGTTGTTCAGAGGTTGACCTTTCGAACATAATTAAATAACTTTTACACAAAATATTTTTTTATACCGAGCCTTATTATTAAGATTAAGAACTTGAGCAGAACTTCACTATTATGTTATTTTATATTTATTAAATTTTAAATATATTACATATTTTATAGTAGGTACCGAAATGTACTTGCTGGAATTCTACCTCGCTAGCGGATACCAGCTTAAATACTCATGAGTAAGAGAACTCATGAATATTTAAGCTGGTATTCGCTTGAATATATTTATGTTTTTAGAAATGCATTCTGGACTTGGAATAGCCTAGACTAGAATAGAACAGATAATAATGTTATATACTGTTTTAAATTTGACGCGGTCATTATTTATACGTATAATTAGTAAATATAACAAATTTTTATATTTATTATATCAGTGGTAAGATCCCGTCATTTTTACTAATTATACAAATAATAATTTTATTTATAATCATGCGCTTGTCAAGCTTTTGTGACAGGTGTATGATTAGATGAGGTTAGTAATTAGTAAAATAACTTGTCAAGGTGCATGACCTTTGACTAGTCAAGTAGCAATATTGGAAAACAAAACGTAAAACTTATTTCTATAAATTTTATTTCGATCTGAAGAAGTTAGGGTTAAAACTGACAGTACCACAGTTCACTTTTGAGAATTGACTCGATCTCAGTTATTGATCCATGTTGTTTTTTTAAACAATACAGAACACTGTATTACATGGCTAAACATTAAGTGGCTATGGTTTCTGGCTATCCATTTCACTAGGAACGCAAGTTCTTAACACATGTGAGACGAATCATAAACAAGTTGAAATCGCAAATGAGTTGGAAGAATTTCTGGCTGTAGGTACTGTATGTACTCAGTGGCTGTAATGTACAGTGAACCTAGTGGACATGCTTTTGTAAAAGGATAAATAACAGAAAACTGCAAAATTATTTGGTTAAAAAAGTATGCCTTTTTATTCTTTCAAATAGTTTTCATCTAAATTTTTATAAGAACATTGGACACAATCGAAGCTTTTTTACCGATAAATAAGTATAAATAATTTCATATTCACATAAATTGTCTTATTTATACATACATTACATTTATTTAATATCAGTCCTCTCAAAAGGTCCACTCTCTCCCTGCAAATTAAACTTTATTATTTACACAGCGATAGGGATTCGCGTCTACCATACATACATACATCAACAATTAACAATTAATAGAGACTATGTACAAAATATATTATTCACAATCACACTATCGATCCATCCGTCATCGTTCACACACGTGTCGATTTCGCACTCACTCGATTTGGCATATGGATGGCGGTACGCAACGGCGCACTAGCGGACTACTAGCCAGCCACTAAGGACACTAGCAGTCACTCACGAGCCACCAGGGCCCGCGGCAGGACGCAGCACGCTTCCGCCGGCGCCTTTCAGCTCGGTCCGACCGTTTCTTCACGAAGCGCACGTTGTACGGGTCTTCGGCTAGTTCGGGGTAACGCGCCACGTCGTGGACGTATTCGCCTTCGTAGCCACTAGCAGAGCCCGCCTTCTGGATCTCGTCAAGTTCAGCCGCAGACCAGTCGAGCGAGCCGCCGAGTCCGCCACGCAGGGCCTCGCGTTCTCGATGCCACGCCTTGCGGACAGCTGTGGAGCGCGCGTGGTGAAGCAGTCGTTGCCGCTCGCGTTCCGCACTCGTGCCATATCGCAAGTTTACTATGCTCGTTCGCCCGTGAATTTTCACGTCGGCGTATGAGCGTCCGCCTTCGGCGACTTCATGGAAGGTCACGTTTAGTTTACCCTGCATACGTTTCAACTGCTGCTTGTCGTCGGCGGCGCGCCACGTCTCCTCCTTTACGAAGTAGAATACATCTTGCTGGTCACCGTGCACAACGAACGAAAACGGTAATAAGTGTGATCGATTGAATACTGACGTATACACGTCTCTGTAGATGGCATTCGCTGACGGTACGGCGGTGACGACGGCGCGCCCGCGAGAGTTTCGAGATACGAGGATACCTCGCCCGAAAGGTGGTTCTGAATCAGAGCCGATGCGTTTTGGTGCCAACTGCAGTGCATCTGTTTTTAGCGCAGACATTGCAGGTATCGACAAACTTCGGAAGTCTGCTATTCTCTTATTGGACATGTGAGACAAGAAACCTGACTCTATTGTAACACTAGGCAGCAGTGACATTGCAGAGGGTAGGCCTGGGCTAGAGTCGGTTGGTGCTGTACCCCAAACAGGCCGACCACGAGGAATGCTTGGAAGTACTGAGCCACCTGGCAGCTCATCAGGGTATAATTGTGGCGCCAAACTTTTCGTGTCGTAGCCAAGTAATTTTAACCATGATAGATGATCTGAAACGGGCAGAAAGATGGATTATGATACAGATATTCTAATGTAGATATTATTATATACTGTGTGAAAACAGTAAAAAACTATCTTATTTATTTATGTGTATGTCCAATATTCACATCAGAATAATAAATATATAAACATCTTAACACATTTTCTCATGTGTAATATTAGGCTATTAGCTATAGTAGTATTGTTACCTGTTGGTTTCTTATTCTGTGGTCTAACATTAATGGGATCGTTCCCATTGAATCGGTATAAATGTAACTGCGTTGGGTTATGTATTCTTTCAATAAGACTTTCCCAGAGTGGAGACATCCATTGTCCAATCAGCGGATCATAAACTTTGCCATTTGCCATGTGCACTAGTGATGTTACTTGATCTAGAAGACCGCCGCAAAAGTCTACTGGCAAGTACAAGTAGGGATTAGAATCGTAAACAATATGACCGTATGGTGATCTCATTATTTCTCGGATTCCTTCTCCATATTGATTAAATACCATTACAGGTGTTCCGCATTGATCCGTAGCGATATAGTATTTGTGTCTGGCAACCTGTAAAAAAATTATGTACATAGTAATTACACAAATAAACTTAGCATTTTGTATTAAATGAAATTATATATAGATAAATTGAAAAGCTCAGGTTACGAACTATTTCTAGTTAATTTATTATTATAAAATTTTAATACTGTACTGTGTCTAAGGGGTGATAATTACCTGAGTGTAGATGAGGTGTCCTCTATCATCATATACCAGTGTCATAAATCTGTTCTCGCGCGGGGAATAAATATGGCTGACTTCATGAGGTCTTTCCTTATTTGTATAGAAGAATTGAGTAACGTTTCCGAAATTATCTTTACGAGTTGATAACCTGGAATATGTTTTACAAAGGTTACAAAATGGACGCCACGCATCAACGAATATATTGTGGTTCATGTGACTGATTTAGTAAAGTTGGTGGAAGTAATAAAAAGTAAATAAATTTATTTGTTACATACCTGTCTAAATGGTCATAGTAATACCGAACATCAAATCGTCCTCGTTTGGTAGCTCTAATCAGTAATCCTTTGGAATTGTATTGAAACCGTTCTTCTCTAGCATTCTGGGATACCAATCCTCGGCTATCGTATCTATATTGTCCTTCGCCAAACTTGATGATACGGTCCATGTCATTGTATTCCATTGGTATGGTGTTTCCTCTATAAGTTAACGAGAGCATGTTTCCATTGTCGTCATACCTGAAACCCCAAGGTTCTTGTGCTTCGACACCGGTTAACTGGCCGTCACAGTCCCATGTATAGTTTTTAACATTTGTATATGTATTAACACCTACATTTCTTGTGTGAGTTCGTGTCTGTGATATTCTTCCATGTTTGTCGTAAGAGAATTCCATTCTAAATACTTCCATTCTATGAATATTGACTGTGACTTCTTTTTCTAAGAATTGTTCATTGAGGGCGCGAGAAAACATTGCTATTCCATCATATACAGAGGTATCATTCCACTTCTGTTGGGATACAGTAAACTGACCTAAAATTTCCGGAGATCCAGTTTTGCTGTTGTATATAATATGATGCGGAATAAGAGTTTGTCCACCAATTCTTCCTTGAACAGAAGTTATTCTGTAATTGTTATCATATTCGTATATTATTTTAGCATTGCTCAGTCCTGTTTTGGCTCCATAGTCAAGTCTTTCTTCTATCAAAAGGCCACCTGCGTATGTTGATTCCCATCGATAATCAACATCTCGATCAACATGTAAGATTTCTGAGGCAAGGCCACTATTTTCTGAGTAGTGGATTTGAGTTTGACCATCTCCATGCACGACCTCAGAGACTTTATTGGTAGTGAAATAACGGTAAACCACTCTAGCGCCATCTCCAGGAAACACAGTTTGTAACAATTCACCAGTATGAGAATAATGTTGTAAATATTTCTTAGAGGACCCAGGTGGTGTGTATGTGACCCTTAAAAATCCTATAGAAGGTTGGACACTGAAAGAATGATTAGTATTTGATGGTAAAATCACATGGGTCAAACCACCATCGTCATCATACAAGTACTTGAAACTTCTCTGGCTTGCCAAAGTAATTTTGGAGACTAGATTGCCTTCATTATAATAAATGAATTTAGTACCATCTTGGGGACTGGTAATTTCAGATAACATTCCATGTGGGTCGTAGCTGTATGTCTCCTCCGTATCACCCCATTTCCAACCGTTGATTCTGTAGAATCTATCATATGAAATATTTAATGGTACACCAGCATCATGAGGAGTAAATGAAAGTGGTAAACCGGCAACGTCATAAGCTATTGTGAACAGCGGGTTTCTGTCTGCATTGAAAAATGTTTCACGGCTCTTGAACTGATCGAATTCAATAATCAGTACTCTGGAGTCGTTTACCCATATCTCACGATTTAATGTCTGCTGTGGGTTTCTAACATCTCCAACTAATGTGTATAAGGAATACATGTTATTTACTAGGTCATCTCCAAATGTGGTAGTTTGATGGGACCACATATGCAGCATTTCAGCTTCTATAGGAAGAGCAGCTTCTAGTAGCGGATGTTTTGCAGCTGCAATACTTTCGAATTTTCCTGACCATGGCGTTTCAAGAATCAATGTGTTGTTGGTATAAATTCGCCCTTCTGTTACTTGTTTGCCGTTATTTATAGTTATTTGTTTAAACGATTGTCCATGTAGAACATATTCACATTTTTTAGCTACACCGACGGGAATAGTGCTTGATGGATTGGATACCGTTACTGCTAATCCGTAGTTTTTAGCTAAGCCAGATGAAATATGCACTTGTTCACCAGATGGCATGATTATTTTAGTTACACGGCCGAGTTCATCATAGTTGTAGATTACTGTATCACCAGACTGAAAACAAAACATATATTTATTTAATAATTATTATACAGAGATCTTAAAGTATATAGTAGATATTTTTTATGAATATGTGTCGTATTATTGACACTAATGATACAGTAAAGGAAAGAAATGGTAAAAATAGAACTCACACAACTCAATAAAATACAACATAGAATGAATCTTAAAACTATTGCGATATGCAACTTAATATAAACGTAACTCACCCCAGATCGGCTATTAAGAAGTCCCGAATTAGCGTCATAATCTAATTCAATTTCGGATGTGCCTTTCTCTGTTAATTTCGTCAAGTATCCGATTCCTGATATTTTTAGTTCTAGTTTGTGATCTTGAGTATTTTCAATTGAACTAACGACGTTACTGTAGTCTCGTAATAATTGAATTTTGTTCCCGGAAGCATCTGTTACAGTAGACAATTTGCCGAAGCTCGTGTTCTTTGAGTAAAGGAATGAATATCTGGTCTTTCCAGATGTTAAATCTTTTGTAGTGATATGTTGTCCATAGCGATTGAATACATATATTTCTGATGTGGGTGGATAAGGTATTCTAAATTCTCCATTCTCATCGTGTGTTGGTAAGTAATGTTTCAATGCTAATATATGAAGGGATCCTGTACAGAAGACATTTTCATATAAAATAAGAATTTAAAGTTTAATATTATCACACACTTTATATATTACCAATTTTTTACACTGCCACACTGTCTAACTAAAATTGTTATTAAAAGCTTACCTTGATCAACAACATTTAAAACGCCGTCAGGCGTTACGGCAAGAGCAGAGATTGTTTGAAATTTGGCATTAGAGGATAAAAGAGTTTCAGTACTAGTAGGCGGCTCATCTCCTGCTGCAACACTCAATTTACATGGACATCCTGCCCCTTCCTCTCGAGTATTCATGGGGATAGCTGTTGCTGATAATGACGAGTTGCATTCACAACTTAATTCCTTTAAGTTTTCTTGCACTTTGCCTGCAAAATGCATGATCTTCCCTGATGGGTCAATAGATTTTATCGTATTTGACTTTTTGGAATCGGATTCCGCAACATATAGAATACCACTTGGTGCAAATGCTAATGCCAGTATTGTGCCTAAACTAGAATCTTCTCTGAATTCTATGTTGGTTTTATTAGTAGCTTTGACAATTGGTTTTCCATCGCTTCCTATGCGACAATGTGAGGGTTGGCCAGCAACCACTTTAATTTTCATGTCAACAGTTAATTTAAGTATAATTCTATCGTCAATAAAATATAGAGATCCGTCTAGCGGAGATAGAGCTACTCCAGTAGGCCACTGTAATTGAGCTTCATAAGGCGGTATAGCGCCACGGCAAGGAACTGGCGACCAATGATTATGATGACCATGATGGCCAACTAGCGTATGTATGATTCCATTGGGATCAACAGCTCTAATATTGGTTCCATCAGCAATATACATAGTTCTATCTGCCGCAATAGCAAGACCTGCAAAATATATAAGTTATTAATTATTATTGACTACTTGTATCAAAATATTCTGAAAGCATTATTTGTGTAAATTAGTAAACGTACCTTTAGGATGAGCCAGCTTGGCTTTTATAGCGGGTCCTTCATCTCCACAATTAGAATCATCACCGGGCACACAACGGTCCCCATTACCGACAACAGGTTCTGAATTCAATGCTGGATCACGCACTTTCTCTAGCAATAATACTTTCCTAACTTGATGTCTCTCTGAATCTGATATGTAAAGGTTTCCATCGGCTGGTGAGATACAGATGTAATATTGATACGCGACTTGGGTTGTCCTATAATGTAACATTTCAATTTGATACAAAAATAGTCACTGAGTTGTGAAATTGATGTAAGCAAAATTTTTATTGTAATTTTAATAATACTTACTCTAAACGAAGAACAGTAGTCACGACGCCTTCTGGAGTAATACGTCGTACAAAGTTGAAGTCACCTACATAAAGTGAACCGTCGGGGCCTGAAGTTAGTGCCGTAGGGGTCAAGAGACGAGAGTCGGCTGCCTTGCCGTTGCAGTTGTCAGGGCAGTCCAGGCTGCGTTGGAGACCTGTCCCCATTACCACCTAAAAAAAGTAAAGTTATGAATATAATTTTTCTCAATCATTCTCACTACAATTATAGTATAAATGCGAATGCAATTCTGTCTCTCTGTCTGTCTTGCTTACACGCCAAAACTACTGAACTGTTTTAAGTAAAATTAATAACCCTGAATAAAACCCTACATAAAACAAAAAAACCCGAGAAAGAATATTTTTAATGCGAAAAAAGGGTTTTAAGAGAAGATGAAAGGTTGTATAGAATTATCGTCATTCTTAAAGCTAATAGCTTGAAACTTACATATTAAAATGTTGATAAAATATAGATAAATATGACATTCAAAGTTTGTATTGTTCTTAAGCCGGTAAAATAAACTAGGGGATGAAAGTTTGTATGGAAAATCGTCATTTATGAAGCTAGAACATTGAAACTTTTTTCTTTGGTTTTTTGTATTAGCTTATTAAATATTTTTTCCTTATTTAGCCAAAGACACTTCTCCACACGTACGAAGTCGCAATGTAATAATAAAAAGAAACAATTTTCGTCTGCTTTCTGTTTATCGCAGATTTATAGTCTATAATATTTTTAATGCGATAATATAATGCTACATGATTGAGGAAACATTTTAAAATTTCACTTTTCCCAGATTATCAATTTAGATAGTGATGCCCAAATGTATGATGAATTAATGAAAGGGGAATCAAAAATGAAAATTATAGCCCTGAACCATTTGTAGCGCTTGCAAAAGCATCATTAATCAAGTCTGTGAAAGTGAAACGATATAGAATGATAGAAACTGAAAGGCCTTAAGAATTCAGAAAGATCTATGGGTTAGAATAAAGATAAAATAAAGTTACTTTCATATCAACACATTCCTGATAAATATAAATAGATTTATATGATCATGTTACATTGATGTAGTATAAATTATATTTACCTGCACAGTTCGAGGATATTGCTTCAAATGTAATAACGCCCCATCGCCTTTCTGTAGTATGCCTTCGTGGAAGTTATAATGATGATGTATATCAAGTCCCCAGCCTCCTATATCTGAGATATCGACATCAAAGCCAGCTAGAGTTGCGGTTTGCGTCTCCCAAACAATGGATGAACACGACGAGTATTCGTAGCCGATGGAAATCTTAGCTTGAGCTTGCCCGTAAACCTGGTGATTGAGAATATAGTGAAATTGACGTGAATTGTTTTTTAATTATTAATATACCTCTAATAATTGTAATTGTTATTGTATTCCAGCAATTTCCAGTTCATGTTGTTCGCGAGAAAGTCAGCGGTTACCTACTAATTTTAATAATCTTACAATTTACTGTTATAAATATATATCTTATATTATACTATTATATCTTAAGTATATTTTAAAAAAACCTCCATATTTAATATACTTTTCATAGAAAATATATTAATATTTTCTTAATAAGTGAAAGTAAACTTGAAGATCTACAGTTAGAACCTATTTATCTACTATTTGATATGTGTTAACAATGTTTCTTCCGAACATATGTTTCTTACAGTCATGCCGCCATTGCATCTTGTGGGTTTGCACAATACTGTATTAGAGTGCAAATAATACGATTATGTATCGACAGATACCTTCTGTTTGTAGACGTTCCGTTTGTTCCAAGCGAAGACGTGAGTAAGATCAGGGTCTGCCTCGTATGTATGAGTGTGCAGCGATCCCTCTATCTCGACGCGCACGTGAACCCGCGCCAGCGACGCAGGCACCGTGCGGCGCGTAAGTTGCACGTGTACGCACGACAAGTAGCCCGCTGATTGCGAGGACCGGTACGTTAGTTTCACTGATGAGCCCGGAATGCCGATAGATTCACTCACGATCTATAACATTAAATAATATGTATTTAATAAAAAGTCAATTGTGGAAAAAAGCCAAGTTAAATCTTAATTATTGTACTAAGCGTTTTAGTATGCCCAATTAGGTTCTGAAACATAGCGCTGTGATAGACGTAGTTGTGCAGTAAACTTGCAATCTAAGGACCTCTTAGGGTACGACTTTTTAGTATTTTGGTTCTCTACTACTTTAAACTTATTGTAAAGTATCTGCTACCCTAATAGGTAGGTATGTATACCTAATAATATATTCTACAGTAAAATTATCCAAAAGGTCGATGGAGTGAATCGGTGACAAATAATTTGTTAATAATAAATTGAACACATGTTGTCAATAAGGTTATTTTGAAGGAGTCAGTCAAGTCAGTAGAAACATATATATCGTAATGTTTGTTACGTACTACTGATTGTGAGATCACTACACAGTATAAAACAAAGTAGATGTCGCTGTCGGTCAGTCCGTATGTATGCTTAAATCTTTGAAACTACGCAATGGACTTTTTTAAAATAGATAGAGTGATTCAAGAGGAAGGTATAATACATGCATAATATTGTAGAGAAACACTGATAAATTTAGAGGATTCTCTGTTAGTTCTTGTGTTTTGAATTTTCTCTACGATCCTTTAATTGTACACTTTATGTAAACGACATATTTACAATGATTACAATATTTGTCACAGTTGGTCAAGGTGGAGTTCATATACAGTACTACTGTAATGTATATGAATGTATACTGTCATGGTAAATAATTACACGAGGTAACAACCTAATTTATACCTATATATATTATGTACAGTTGTGTTTATGTGATTATAATAGAGACAATCTTTGTAAATTGTTAGATACCTGAGCCTCTGGGTATATGACTGTAGTGGTGATGTGAGAGGAAGCAGCAGGCGCGGCTAGCGGCGGCACGGCCACCACTTCAGGTCGTAGTCGCTCGTGATCATGTGCCGCGCACGGCGGAATCTCTGACTCCCACCACTGAGGCGTTGGTGACCAGTCCAATCTTGGCGGAGATCTACAAATTTTAATAAATACACTTAACACTGGCCTTATCCCGATTCGGTACGATTGTACGAAATATATTATTTCCTGTTCTTGTGGCAATTAAATAAAATCTCTTTGTGATTAAAATGTTATTGTTAAACGATATAATTTTTCTCTTTGTTGCCAAACTAGCATACGCCCCATCTGATGGTAAATTGTTACAGTGTTTTTGGTTTTCGCCAGTAGTTATTATGGCTCGAAGACATTTGAGAAAAAGTTTAATATTTAGTCTTTTTAGTAGTATAAAAATATTGTAGATTATTTTTTTTTATAAAACCTTTAATTTAATTCATGTTAAATTATGATACATAGCCTATATTAAAAAGCTTTCCACGGTATAAATAAGTTAGGTATACGAACTTGTAGAATGTATCGCTTATTAAGCTATATTATTTTCCGCATGGTAAATATAGTTATCCAATATACATTTTTGCAGTCATGAATATCTAACCTTGGAGTTGGTACTTTAACGCTATCGTCACTGAGTTCCATCTCAACAGGCGGCAGCACGACGATCTGATTCCATGGCACGAAGACTGTCTTCCTCAGAGGCTTGAATGGAGAGCGCTGGAACTGAAGAGTCACGGCCCCACCGCCGTTCACCAAAACATCGAACCTGTGACGCATTGTAATATTCATTTATTTGTATTTCAATTATTTTGTTTTCATATTTATTTACTTACGCAGACTTGATAAGTAGTTAATTAATTGTTCTATTAGGAAGTGTCTACCTATATTTATCGATCACTAAAACGCTTCTGTATCATATTAATAATTATGGACTTATTTTATACACATTCTATACATAAATTTAAATACCCGTACTTATACTTTGTAAAACAACCTATTAGAGTATTTTAGAATTATGAATAATAATGTTAAATGATAGTGATAGATTATAAGAAAAGTAGTATGTAGAGTATCAATTTATTAAGAGAACTGGCCTAGTTCATAATCATAATCCGATCACAGATCGTCAGTTCGAAAATGGCTTACACTAATAAATTTTGTATTACAGTTTATATTTGTGACTGACTCCGATCATGAAATTCCTATAACAAATCAAATTAACAGCCGTAGGCTCGCCGCGTGGCTATGTAAAGGGTTTTTAATGGATGATAATGGAATATTGCACCCGCCTGCGCCAACGGTTAACGCTGGCGGGGCACCAGTGGAGGATGATAAGATCAATATGAGGTCACAGTATTTAGTCCGTCGTGACAAATTCACAACGAATTTATCTCGATGGTTTCAAGGGTTAACCGGATGGAGGTCAACCTGACACAATATATTACTAGCAATTGCGTCATTAGACCACATTACGAACGATTCCCTTCGCCCCGCTATATCGAGGCTATATCGACCCACCAAAATTTAGACAGTTATCTTCCACAACTTCATCTGCGATATTGTTATCTCAGGTGGGGTCTTATTACACCAAATTCGATAAACAATGTGTGCAAGGCTACTAACTAATAGCTGCTTTAAATATCATAATTTCTAACCTTTCGGTAATATCATAATACAAAATTTACTTTGTAGAGTCATAGTACAACTACAATAACATATAGTCAAAATTCAAACAAACTTGTTGTATCTTTGTCTATGAATACGTTCACATGGTACTGGTTTCGTTACGGTATCGAGTAATTAGATTTCATACTTGTTTTTACAGAAACGCACAAGGAATTGATAACGACCGTGTCTGAATAGTAATGATGATTACACTGAACTTGCCTCAAATATTTATTTATTTACATTCTTTCGATTGTTGAAGCTTGTTTAAATATATCTGTTTATCACGCAACTTGGATATTAAAATATTTTCACGGTACCTATCACGTGTTACTCATGTTTTTATTACAAATATTTCTACGGTTTTAATTTTATTGCTTTACAGTTTAAAGAAATAAAATGTATTTACCGAAACCAAGAGGATATTCAATTTGTCGATATTTAAATATATTATGTTCAAATTGAGAAATAAAATTTACCTAATAAATAGTTATCTATGCTATTTGCATTCTCTATTAGCCAAATATTCGCTAATTATTCTTTAATATATGATTTCTGTTTGTTTTGCTTATTCCGGTGGATATGCTAAAGGTAGGTATATATAGTATACATACCTACTATTTGTCTGATTGCGTGTACTTCTAACAATATTTTTAACATTCAGTTATCTTAATGTTGAACTACAACATCATACATATAATTATAAGAAATTATAAAGGATAACATTACTAAATAAGTAATAATGTATACCGGTACGAAATCTAGAAGAAAACCTACTCCAAATTGGCAACTGCAATTAAAAGATTAATTATTAATTAAAATATACAAAATGATTTATAAAAATACTCACCATCCACCCTGCCTGGTAAGAGTGAATCCGAACCGTGCTTCTCGGTCTACAGATACCCTGATGCCGATGATTCCCAGACCTTGCGGCGATACAACTTGGCCCCGCATCACGGAAACACGGCTGCACAGATCAATTAACGTCAGTGTGTTTGAGCTTACACAGCACAGCACACCGTGTGATACCATTCTAGTGATTATTATAAAAAAGTGTTATGAAATGATAATGTAATTTCAAAGTTAATGTTGAATGAATATATAATATCTAATTGTGCGTATAGATGAGATGTATTATTCGACTTAATTTGAAGTGTAGGAAAACAAAATTCTGATCGAGACATACATCATTGAATGTTTTTTATTATTCTTTAAAATCAACATGACAATTTACCTGTTTTAACTTATTAGTCTATTGCAATACACATAACAAAGTACGACATCGTTTTTGGTTGAGTATTGCTAGGAAACACTTTTTAAAAATGGAGCATACTCAAGAGATTTCTTGAATCTACCCCATTTTAAAAAGTTGATCATTAAACAAACGTGTCCCCTGTTTTATTTTCTAGTTTTCAGGTTAATTACAGGCACTGATAATCATTAATTGTATTTTTTTCACACAATTTGTTGGCCATAATTTTCCAAAAAGTAGTTTTTAAGGTTCTAGGTAAGTATGTATATATATTCCTGTAAAACAATCAGTAGTAGTAATTAGTAGAAAGGAAAATAAGCTTATTAATAGAATCAGGTAACAGTTTCAGTTCTGACTTTAAGTTGTTGTATAAAGGTTTTAGGTAATTTTTCATAGAAAAGGCAAGTAAGATTCTCTAAGTTTTATTGAAAACCCTAAAATTTAGGAAATTTGTTGTTTAATCTATACATATAAATAAAATTGGAGTGTCTGTTTGTAATATCGAAATAATCGGTTTTTACTACATGCATATGAATATAAATACGGCACATACATCAAAATATTTATTTCTACAATTTTTGTCTGTCTGTTTGTTCCGGCTAATCTCTGAAATGGCTTGACCGATTTTGACGGGACTTTTTTTGACAGGTAGCTGTATAAGGTGTAACTTAGACTATTTTTATTTTAGAAAAATAAAGTAAAATTTCACGCGGACGAAGTCACGGGAACAGCTAGTCTTATATATGTGTATAATATTAAACTGGAGAAGGTAAACTAACTTTGATATTACTGTTAATAAACTATTTTTGTATTTATGATGACAGTTATAACATAATACGTGTATACAATACTACTCTTTATAATAAAGAATGACTGTCGGTTGATAAGATACTTCATCCGGACGAAGAATGAAATACAGACGTATTATTTTGTATTTTCAATGTGATTAAGAGAAATAGAGATAGAAATAATCTTTATTCCAATAAACTCATTACAAGCACTTTTGAATAGTCATATTTTGATTCTACCACTCTTTCGGAATGCAGATTCATCATAAGAAGAATGAGCAAGAAACTTGTGTATTGCTTTTTTGAATAAATGTTTTTTTTATATAAATAATTATAGTATACCAACTAAGAGGCATGCGATAATGAACATAGAAATCGCTACGCTCTCATTATTAGTGTAATCAGATAATATTTCAGTGCTATTTTTATTTTCAGGGATTTTAAGTTTTTCTATAAAAACATTATTGTCGTTAACGAATTCTTCAATTTTATAGTAAGCTTTTTTGCAAAGGAAGTGTTTTATATGACATTTAAATATTTTTTCAGGCAGATTTATAACAGACTCTGGTATTTTATTGTAAAACCTTACGCAGTTGCCATAAAACGAATTACTAAAATTAGCCAAACGACATTTAGGTTAAATCAGTGTGTTATTGTTACGTAAGCTTTTATTAATATGAACTGGTACATCTATATAATTTATTTATTCATCTCACATAATTTTAAGTTTGTTACTAACCAATAGTAAGCATATATAAGGGTAAGAATAAAAAAAACAGTCAAGCTGCTGAAAACAATTGCCAAGGTAATGGCAAACACATAGTTTATTTGTAACCTTTATTCCTAACGTAGTACAATTTACGTGTTTGTTTGGCAGTTGGCACTTGTATTTATTGATGTAAATTATCTATAAACTCTTCATGGAAGATCCATCTGTCACCTACCCAATTGAGTGATGATGAAAACTAAGGTAGTACACCTCAGTTTTCATTCTAATATAGAGTTTACAAATTCCGATGTTTAACTGCGGATTCAATATTAGGACTTTTTGTTACACCCTCGTCTAATATGATAATAATAGACGAGGCTCATGTGAAAAACGAGTCAGTATATTCGTCAATATTGATGCACAAATATCAATTGAGTAGCCTGAAGGTATAGTGACTTTAATTTGGCATTAACATTAATTATTGGTTAATTTTAGGAGTATGGATGGAGATCAATCAGAACTGTTATACTCTTTTCAATTTTGAAATAATCTTCCAATAAGATACCCACCACGTTGTAAATATAACCGAACATTAGAGAACGACGTTAAATAATGAAGTTAGCAAATTCTACATAGAGCTGTTTATTTTACTTTTTAGACAAAGTTGAAGCGCAATTTTGTAGTACCCCTTTTTATGAAAATTGAGATGATGGAAGTGTATGTATAATATATTTAACTTATAGTTCATATGGAGAGTATTGTTAAGTGTATTAGTGTTTATATAGAGTATAATATTCAAATTTCTAATTTAAATCAATTATAATCAAATTTCGAACATTGAGTGACCACTAGTTGACTGGCATTATATTAATACGTGCAGCAAAAATTTTTTACACCGTTTTTACTTCTTTGCCTGGACGGCTAGGTAATTTCACAAGTTTATTTAGAGAAGGAGTGCAAAATGCTAATATTTATTTCAAAATATGCTTAAAAATATATTCAATCAATTAAAAAATATTACACACACTACCTGATATGTGTATCTAATACACATATGCATATAAGTATAGTCATTGACAATAGAACCATAATAATTGTGCAAACTTACAAGTAAAATTTATTATGGTCGTGTTTTGATCATTGGGTGGCCATTAGTTTTTTTAAATCTATTAAAAATAGTAAATCAATAGTAGATATAGAAATATAAGCTAGTTTTACTGGAGTATGAACGGTAGATATGTTCTATTTGGAAACGCTGTTTATTATACTTGTATATTCTCTTATGTAGTAAGATTTCGTACAAATTACAACGAGGGCGAGAAATTTAACTAAATCTTGCGTACCTATAATAAAGGTAAAAACACAGAAAGTTGATGAAGATTCCTTAACTTTTTTTTTTATAACACAGAGGATAAACAAGCATACGGCGCACCTGATGGTAAGTGATTACCGCCGTCCATGAGCACCCGCAACACCAGGGAAATTGCAAGTATGTTGTCGGCCATTTAAAAAGGAATAAGATCTTTTCTTGAAGGTTTCAATATCGTATCGGTTCGGAAATACCATTGCTGGAAGGTGATTCCACAATGTGGTTGTGCGTGGCAAAAAGTTTCTAGAAAACCGCATTGTGGAGGTTTATATTCTAACAGATGATCTAGTTACTTTATTTATTTAATATTCAAAGATTTTTTCACTTGTTATCCTACATAGGGATAGAGTCACTCAGTTAGTCCCATCACTGAGTGACTGTCTGAGATCAGAGAAATCTATGAACGTATAGATTAAACCATTGAGTCTAACTGAAAAAAAAAGAAAGTTCCTCTAATTATAATACTTCACATGCACAAAAGCATTATATGGAATAGAATATCTATATAATGCTTTTGTGCATGTGAAGGCACGGCAGATTTAAATTGGCTACACCACGATTCATTTCTCAGGTATATTAACTGTGTATAACGATAATTTATTTTAAATCGAACTAAAATAAATAGTATATCTTATATATAAAATTCTCGTGTCACAGTTTTCGTTCCCATACTCCTCCGAAACGGCTTGACCGATTCTCGTGAAATTTTGTGAGCGTATTGAGTAGGTCTGAGAATCGGCTAAGATTTATTTTTCATCCCCCTAAATGTTAGGGGTAGTCCACCCCTAAATTTTTTATTTCATTTTAATGCAAAACAACGTTTGCCGGGACAGCTAGTTTATGTTCTAAAAATGTCCAATTCGGTTTTGTCCTAACATATGAATATGTTTATATTTTTTTAAGAACTATGTCTCTATTAAAAACTAAGAAGTTATATAATAGAATTTCCGTCTAAGTATTTAAATTTCTAGATAAAACCAAGTTAGAATCATTATAGAATTTCTGTTATTACGTATTTTTGATCTATATAACATATTTATATAAATTATTTTAATTTATCTAGATGCCTACTTGATGACATAATTGATTTATTTAATGTTAACTAAAATAATATTCACCAAGCGTATTAACGTTATCACATTCCCAACCAATGGGATTGTTATGACTATAATACCTACCTTACTTTTATTAAGTGCAATAATAGGTACCTTTATTTTTATTACAATATACTAATTATTTTTATTGTAAGGTTCCTCCTTAATATCTACTTTGGATTTCTAGAGATTGGCTTTACTTCTCTTCGAATGAGATATAATTAGTATAAAGAATGCTTATACAATCATTTTTGGACATTAATTTATAGAAGTAATCATAATGCGTTATATTTTTGTAATGGATTTCCGCACTATTCTTCCAAATATTCATTTAATTGTTTATATAAAATAAAGTTATCGGATCTCCCAAACTTACTCTGTGGGTTTATTACATATGCATGCTTGTTTGTTGCTTTCATAAAAATAAATCAATGTTTACTTAGTACTTTCGTATTTCAATATTTTTCTTTATAATTTTTTTTATTATAATAATGATATTAAATATACGCTGACCCATCATGCCAAACTTCTGTGAAGTCCCCATCATGCCAAACTTCTGTGAAGTCTGTTGTCTATTGTTTACTAATTTTTTTATCGTGGAGTGAAAGTGCTAAGTTCGTACAATTTTTCAATTCAATCATACTCGAACTATGTAATATTAAACAATATAGTTCGTCATATACCACTTATCTCGGCAATCGAACGGATCTTTACTTGATCGATTTGTTTTGATGCATTATAATTTATCTAATGGT